AACAAGGAGGAAATGTTTTTCTTTTTTTTGTTTGCTTGCATGAGGAAAAAATAAACTGACAAAGGTAAAGGAGTTTACCTCGAACATTTTTTTTCTTTTTGCCTGCATCAAATAATTCCATGGTGCATCTATGGCCTTTTGGGACTTCCACTAATTTGTGTAATCAAAGCTGGGCTAAAACACTGGTTGTGTTTTTCTGTTAAGGTTGTATATCTTTAGGTTTTTCCATTCTTAAATAACTAAACAGTGATTAGTGTTTTGTGACCCAGCTAATTTGTAGCATTTCTCCAGATCTGTTTGCTGTGTTCCCTGGTCATTTTGATTGATCAGTGTTCATGAATGTTCAGTAACAAATCTCCCACGCCTTCAAACAACAGCTGAATCTATTTACACTGGCAGACACTTCCTTAATAGGTAACATAAAAATATTATCGGTCACACTTTAGAGTGGTATAAAATAAAAATTTGTGGTATAAAAAAAAGCGTTTCAGATTTAAGTCTGCCATTTCCCTTCCATTCTGGGGTTATGTTCTTATTTATACTGTCATTTCACATAATTTCCTACAGACTTATTTAAATTTGTGTCAATACGAGGCATTTTTACCACTACTTGTAGCTTGCAAAGTTGTGTTTTTATTTATTATCCAGGAATAAAATCTTATCTGGTTGAACTCAGTGCAAAATCAGCAGCCCTGTCAAACTTTATACATCATTCAGTTCACATAGTGCTTGAGAAATAAAGGAAACTATTCTAATATATGGCATTTTTTCTTTTTGTAAGCTAGAACTGTGTAAATGCACATTAAGAAAGCCACATTAAACACACAGTCACACCCTGCCTGGACTTTAGACCAACTAGAGAGAAGTTTTGTTCATCTGAGTTGTTTATGTCCGAGGGCAGAATCTGTTCCTGTGAAGTTTATATACATTCCCTTCTAAGCTTAAGAAACACTTTATCCTGTATTTAATACCCTTCTTGTTTTTTTGTTATGGCAACGCTGCTGTTTTTCTGTACTGTTCAGAGTGCATTTCAAAGAATATTCCCGTCACATGAAGATATGTGACCCTATTTTACCTGGTAATCATTATTTTTGCTAAAAAAACACAATGCTCATTTATATAAAAGCCTCTAAACCTTATTTATTTGAAAAAAACAACCTTAAGGAGCAGACACCTACCTGGCAGTGTCTTACGTCGGGATACCTCTAGGTGATCTGATTGTCATGTCTCTGCTTTCTACTTTTCCACTCCTCCCCAACGCTTTCAGTTTCATTTCAGCCAAACATTGAGAAAGGTTTTGTTAAGATACTGGGTGGGATTTGTTGATTCAACTGGGTTTGACTGATCATGACTTATTAGGAAACATCAGCTAATAAGTACTTTACAACAGAGAAATTGTAAGCTTATTTGATCATTTAATAGCTATTAATTTCATACTAAACAACTGGCCTGATATTTTCCTCCCAGATTGTCTGATAAAGAGGAGAATTAATGGTTCTTTTAGTCACATCAGGTCTTGGAGGCCCTGAAACAGGAAAGCAGCCCCAAACTATCAAACGTCCTCCTTCTGTTACTTCTGTTTCCTGATTAAATTGATTAGTTTTACATTCGATATAACAAGATGCATACTTTCTGAAGAAGTCAGAGCTTTCTCTAAATAGTCAGAATTTTCTCCATCATTATCTTAGTTATGATCCAAGTTTTTGGTATATGTTAGATGAATCTTTGTCTTCTTTATGGTTCGCTACACTATACACCTTCAAAGTCTTCAACTTTAGCCTTACTGGTAAAACTTTACAATAAGGCACACAAAATCTAAATAACTACTAGAGAAAATGACCAGAACTTATTTAGGAACCCCCAGTTCCATCTTATTATGGGACTACTGCTTTTTTGCTGGGTAAACACAGAGTAACTAATGAAGAAGTAATGTGTAGTTACCAACAGTCCCCTAGTAAGAGCTGGTTAACTCCCCATTATTTCAACATTAATTAATCTTGTTTCCTTGTGAACTAAGCAGTGGTCCCATAATAAGGCTACTGCAGGCTGCGTGTCCCCTAGTAAGTGCTGCTTAACTACCTATTAGTTCCTAAATAGTTCCATCTTGTAGTTAATCATTTTTCATACCTTATTGTTAAGTGTTACCGTATTTTTTTAATGTTCAATAGTGACTTCGGAGGGCACTAATGGGAAGAATGGCTACTAACTGGAAAGTTTAAAACTTTTACTCCTAAACTAACTAATGGAAATGGCTTCAGAATACTGAAATATTTATCATTTAATTGATTGGGTATTATTTCCCCCCACGGCACAAATTCTGGTTGTTTGACAAACTGATTAATTTCTGTAAACAACATTCTGGTTTCCTTAGAATGTTTTTTTTTTTCTGTGGACACATGTGAAGAAAGTAATAAAATGGATAATGAAATAGATATCAGAATAGATTTGGAAGGTTACTGGTCGACCACATAATTGTGTTTGGCTTTGATAAGAAACCAACACCTGACAGGACTCCTAAAATAGTTATTGAATGTGAAACATTCAAAGGCAAAGGTACCCCAAACAGAAATACATTCAGTTTATTTAATAACACAAGCTTAGATGATTGTATACATGATACAGTTGGAAATGTACACAATGTTAAGAGTCACAAGAGAGCACACAGGTGAAGGAAGTAGCTTAGACCATCAGGTTCATCCTACAGTCAGTCCAATGAGTGCCTGGACAGTTTTGTTCCTCAGATATTTAGACATTTGTACACACCTCGTAAAGAGTTCCACATTTTGATATTACAGCCAAAAACATCTGTTTTATTTTATTATGATATAATCTGATAGGCCAGAACCAAAGCAGTGCATAATTATGTATCGAACCTTGCAGGGTTAACTTCTTTATTACAACTAACAATTTTAAATTGGATTTGTATTCATACTATAAATCTTTAAACAGTCCAGGAAATTAATATTAATTTAGTACATCTATTCACATATGCAGTTTTTCTGTAAAGGTTTTGTTACTTTATATATGTTTATGGTTGGAAAAAAACAGAATATGAAATGCTTCAAGGCTTAAATTACTTTGCAAGAAATTATTTTGCTTTTAACAGATTAAAACTACATAAAAAAGACGTTGACACATTAACAATAGCTATGTGTGCATTCACAAAATGCCCTGATCCAATTGGAATTTATATTTGGATTAAAAAAAATGATTGTATTGTTTATTTGGAAGTCAGTGATTGGAAACTCGAAGTATCAGATGATTTACACTGAAACGCTATGTCTGAAATAGTTTTGAACTGAACTCAGAGTGTTATAAAAAGTAAACCATTAAATGAAAGCGAGCCTGTCAGAAGGTAGAAACTCATAAACACAACACGCCCAGTTTCTGTGGTTTCTCTTTCAAGGAACACGAAAACCTAAAACCCTGTGGAGCAGCATACAGACTGCACTAGAGAACAAGGAATCACATGGAAACCTCTTTTTGTTTTTCCAGACTTTGCCTTTGTTGTTTGACACGTCCAAACAGTGATCGCTCTGGTTGCTAAACAGCAGCTCAAACAGAGAGTTAGCTAGAGAGCTATTCATCCTGGTGATGTCAGCAGAAACAAGATGAAAACAGGAATCTGCTGATTTTAATAAAGAAGTGACTGTTATGCTGCAGGCAAAATATACAGTACATGTGATAAACTCGCAACTTTGGTTACATTATATCACTGTAAAACAAGAATGTAGTACATTCAAATCCTTGATGATATTTTCATAGTAACTTATTGATAAGCACATGCAACGTTATGTTAGTATGTTACGTATGTTAGTAAAACTAAAACATAGTTAGATACTAGCAGCTACAGACACCAGTTGTTGTACAGTTTAATTTCACTACTCCATTTACTATCCATCATCATCCATCCATCGATCCTGTCCCACTTCATTCATTAGAATCTTCGTGGGGCTGGTACCCGTCTCAGGAAGTCTATGGGTGCAGGCAGGGTACACCTAGCCTGGGTGCCATTCCGAACTTAGTCCCGCCCACAAAGTTTGAGGTCGGGGAAGTTAGGTCTGGCTCTGCTCCATAATAGCGCGAGTATTATCGCCCACTGTCAGGTGATCCAATCAAATTGTCAGGGCGGGCTTTATACGATGATGGACAGATGACCAACAGTAACGTAATCAACCACGTGACCAAAGCGCGCTTGGGTGACAACAATAATGGCTGCCGCTGGAGAGTTTAGGTGAGTAGATTCTGCTATTAGGTCTGTTCTAGAAGATATCGACAGAAAATAAATTTTAAAAGAGGAACAGAGAAACGCGATCAAGGCTCATCTTCTTATTCTAGGCGCTTTGATTTTTGTGGACAACAACTATGCCTCGCTTAACATACGTCACGCACTCCGTTGCTCTTATTGGTTGTAGGTCTATCCAATTGAGTGCAGAGGCATTTTTTTTCCTGGTTCGTTCGAAACACGCCCCATAATCACAGCTCTATGGAGCAGTATCAGACTCATATTCTGACTAGAATTGAGTCGGACTACGTCAGGCTAGGGTACACCCTGGACACACACACATCTCTTATGCAAGTGCATAATATCTAATTATCTTATTTTAAGGGTAAAAATGTTAATTTCAATTGCTATCAACTTAATTTTCTACTCAAATTTAGGGGCAACAGTGCTACAAACTGTCCCATCCTGTATGCACTGTATGCACATATACAGTAAACCACTGAAATATTGTTGGAATGTAGATTTAAAGTTAATTACTGGCAGCTTACAGTATTTTCAATCTTGATTGAAAATACATTGATTTACTGTCAGGATAACTTTTGATCAATAAAATGGTGCTGTCTGTAGCTGCCAGAACTTTATTCGTAGTTTATTAAATGTGTGCTGCCGGCAACAAAGGTGAGATAACCCTAATCCGGGAGACTTTACTTTATATAAATTTTTTTTCAATAAAAATCGTTACCTTAAATGAAATGACAAATTGTTGACACAAAAGCATTATTCACATTTTAATAATCATACATGATACTTTCTTATGATGTCATAAAGATAAGTTAAAAGTCATACTACATTAACATTAAAACAAACCTGGGGTCAACACAGTCTGCCCTGTCCAAGCTTAAATTAAATACATAAAGAGAGCAGAGGGTTGCTGGTACTTATGCCATGGAAAAAAATATTTGAGGCAATTCTGTAAATTTGTGTGTCAGGCTTTACATTGTTTTACGTAAACAGAATCTGTAGACAGAAGAGCTAAAGTGATGGGACATTTTATTTTTTCACATGAACATTTAAAGTCACATATGCCAAACAACAATTTGGTATTGTGTTATTTGTATCAGACGAGCTGTAGCAGCTAAGATGATCCAGTTTAATACAAGAAATCAAATAAAAAAATGTCACTCAAAATCATTCTATGTCAAATCCATACAGTTTGCGGCCCTGCCTCATGAGAGCATACACCACATCCATGGCGGTGACAGTCTTCCTCTTTGCATGCTCTGTAAAGGTGACAGCATCCCGAATGACGTTCTCCAGAAAGACCTTCAAAACACCGCGGGTCTCCTCATAGATGAGACCAGAGATGCGTTTGACTCCTACACAGCGAGCCAGACGGCGGATTGCTGGCTTGGTGATCCCCTGGATATTATCACGGAGGACTTTACGGTGACGTTTTGAGCCTCTTAACCCAGCTCCTTTGTAGAACGGGAGAAATACCTTTTAGTTATCAGAACATTGGTGTTCTGGGACCATTTTTCAAATCTAAACCAAATCTAGCCAGCCCACAGACCCAAGACAATTTACCTAAGATCACTGCCTCTACAGTTGTTATAAACACAGGTTTACCTACCAGCCTCAAAAGTCCTTGTTTTCTCCCTAACCTCTGTAGGTCTTATTTCAACAGGACTTTGATGCTGCTTCTCTGATGATACAAAAATCATGCAATAATTGGTTGGTTAGTTGGTTAGCAGATACACTATATTGCCAAAAGTATTTGCTCACCCATCCAAATTATTGGAATCAGGTGTTCCAATCACTTCCATGGCCACAGGTGTATAAATTCAAGCACCTAGGCATGCAGACTGTTTTTACAAACATTTGTGAAAGAATGGGTCGCTCTCAGGAGCTCAGTGAATTCCAGCGTGGAACTGTGATAGGATGCCACCTGTGCAACAAATCCAGTCGTGAAATTTCCTCGCTCCTAAATATTCCACAGTCAACTGTCAGCTGTATTATAAGAAAATGGAAGTGTTTGGGAACGACAGCAACTCAGCCACGAAGTGGTAGGCCACGTAAACTGACGGAGCGGGGTCAGCGGATGCTGACGCGCATAGTGCGAAGAGGTCGCCAACTTTCTGCAGAGTCAATCACTACAGACCTCCAAACTTCATGTGGCCTTCAGATTAGCTCAAGAACAGTGCGCAGAGAGCTTCATGGAATGGGTTTCCATGGTCGAGCAGCTGCATCCAAGCCATACATCACCAAGTGCAATGCAAAGCGTCGGATGCGGTGGTGTAAAGCACGCCGCCACTGGACTCTAGAGCAGTGGAGACGCGTTCTCTGGAGTGACGAATCGCGCTTCTCCATCTGGCAATCTGATGGACGGGTCTGGGTTTGGCGGTTGCCAGGAGAACGGTACTTGTCTGACTGCATTGTGCCAAGTGTAAAGTTTGGTGGAGGGGGGATTATGGTGTGAGGTTGTTTTTCAGGAGCTGGGCTTGGCCCCTTAGTTCCAGTGAAAGGAACTCTGAATGCTTCAGCATACCAAGACATTTTGGACAATTCCATGCTCCCAACTTTGTGGGAACAGTTTGGAGCTGGCCCCTTCCTCTTCCAACATGACTGTGCACCAGTGCACAAAGCAAGGTCCATAAAGACATGGATGACAGAGTCTGGTGTGGATGAACTTGACTGGCCTGCACAGAGTCCTGACCTCAACCCGATAGAACACCTTTGGGATGAATTAGAGCGGAGACTGAGAGCCAGGCCTTCTCGTCCAACATCAGTGTGCGACCTCACAAATGCGCTTCTGGAAGAATGGTCAAAAATTCCCATAAACACACTCCTAAACCTTGTGGACAGCCTTCCCAGAAGAGTTGAAGCTGTTCTAGCTGCAAAGGGTGGACCGACGTCATATTGAACCCTATGGATTAGGAACGGGATGTCACTTAAGCTCATATGTGAGTCAAGGCAGGTGAGCAAATACTTTTGGCAATATAGTGTATATACAATTAAGCACAACATAAATAATTACTGATGCATTCTCGTTCAAACTGTATATATTTAACCTGTGCACAGTTTCACCTACCACTTTCAGAAGTAATGGAACCATCCCTGACATCTGTTTTATCTGTGGCGGTGGGACTCACAGGTCTGATTTCATTTGGAGGTGCTATAAAAATAAAGTAATTGATGTTAGTTTGTTAATTCATTACTTTAATTTAATAAACAATTTTTGTGTCCCAAAACATGTCCCAATCCTGTGATAATTTGTAGGTACTCTATAATCTAAATTATGGTCTCTGAGATATGTGGATATAACCCTGACAGGACTAAGCAGGAGAAGATGGATGGATGGATGGATGGATGGATGGATGGATGGATGGATGGATGGATGGATGGATGGATGGATGGATGGATGGATGGATGGATGGATGGATGGATGGATGGATGGATGGATGGATGGATGGATGGATGGATGGATGATTTCAGCAGGACTTTGATGCTGCTTCTCTGATGCTACAAAAATAATGTAATTGATAAGTTAGTTGGTTGATTGATTGCTTTAATTCAGTACACAGTTTCTTGCTCAAACTGTATGTATTTAACCTGTGCACAGTTTCACCTACCACTTTCAGAAGTAATGGAACCATCCCTGACGTCTGTTTTATCTGTGGCGTTGGGACTCACAGGTCTGATTTCATTTGGGGGTGCTACAAAAATCAAGTAATTGATGGATGGATGGATGGATGGATGGATGGATGGATGGATGGATGGATGGATGGATGGATGGATGGATGGATGGATGGATGGATGGATGGATGGATGGATGGATGGATGGAGGAAACAGTGGATGAGACTGTGTATGAATTCAAGTGGGAAGGATTTTTTTTTGGTGTAAAAGGTTTTAAAAATATGCCAAATATATTTTGGGGGAAATTAATTGTATACCTATCTATCTATTGAGCATTTATTTATTTCTGTATTGATTTTTAAATATGGTAAAGCTGGTCCTCCATACCTGTATGCAGCATACACTTAAATATAGGTTTATATAGGTAAACAGCCTTCAGTTATGAACACAGGCTTACCTACCAGCCTTAGAAGTCCTTGTTTTCTCCCTAACCTCTGTTTCCACTTTAGCTGTGATTTCAGCAGGACTTTGATGCTGCTTCTCTGATGCTACAAAAAATAATGTAATTGATAAGTTAGTTGGTTGATTGATTACTTTAATTCAGTAAACAATTTCTTGCTCAAACTGTATGTATTTAACCTGTGCACAGTTTCACCTACCACTTTCAGAAGTAATGGAACCATCCCTGACATCTGTTTTTTCTGTAACGGTGGGACTCACAGGTCTGATTTCATTTGGAAGTGCTAGAAAAATCATGTAATTGATAAGTTAGTTAGTTGATTAATTACTTTAATTTCATAAACAATTTTTGTATCCCAAAACATGTCCCAATCTTGCTAATAATTAGTAAATAACTTTATAATCTAAATCTTGGTCTCTGACAGGACTAAGCGGGAGAACATGGATGGATGGATGGATGGATGGATGGATGGATGGATGGATGGATGGATGGATGGATGGATGGATGGATGGATGGATGGATGGATGGATGGATGAATGGATGACACAGTAGGTGAGGCTGTGTATGTACTCACTGTGGGGATGATCATCTTTGGTGCAAAAGTCAAATATTATATTTAATTTTAATATTATTAATATTATTTGATTTAATATTTATTTCACGAGTTATCAGTTTTGTTACCAAAGTCTCATACGAGACACTAAATAGTCGCTACAATTGTGGCTTCTCTTCTTTTGTATTATTTACTCTTGAGGGGTATGAAAAGTCATATGTATCGAAAAAATTGCTAATTGTTTGCCCAATTAGCATTTTTTTCGATGTAGTGAGGCCAAATTGCAAATCAAATCACACATGCAGAGAGGTATTCCCGTGGTATGTGTCTCAGAAAACCCCCCCACAATATACTGGGTGTTGTAAGTGAAACGCTAGGCGTATAAGTGAATAAAAAACAAAAATTATAACTTAACTGTTGTCTTATTTCAAGAGATCAAATCATGTGTATGTGTTTTTATAAAACTGAAGCTCATTTGAATTAATTTCATCTTATTTAAAAAAAAACTTGGACAGATTTTGCTACAACTGATATATGAATATATTGCACTCAAAATGCAAAGTACTCACCGGTTGTCAAAAGGGCCGTGATAGTACATGTAAAAGGGTCTTTTATTGTGATTTGGGTTGGGTGGTCAAACTTTAGAGTGATGGAGCTAGATAGTTTGGTCTCTGGGATGTCCATTTCCTTCGAAGTTGTATTCAAACCTCTGACCTGAATAAAACACACCTCATAACTTCAGGTCATTACAGTCAGATATGAACATCCGAGTGCTGCTTTTATGTTCCTATTTTTTTAGATCTACAATGCATGTATAGCCAGTCACACTGTCAGCAATATGTAAATATCATATCAGTCTCATTGTAGCATGACTTCCATCTCAAATCCCTAAATATTTTCTTACATTTTAGAAAACATTATTTTTTTTTAACCCAAGTTAAGCTTTCCTTTCACAATGTTAACTTGTTTTACTCAATCTAATTATATTTTTGGTTTACAAGAGTAAAATTAAAACAGTTCTTTATATGTGACAACATCCACAAATAAAGGGTCTAATTAGATAGGAAAAGTAAAAGTAAAAATACACAAAAAAACTGTGAGGTATTGATTCTGTGTAGAAACATTGGGGCCTAACATGGGCGTAGGTTTGCATAGGGAACATAGGGACATGTCCCTACCAAAATTTTGGACCGACCTAATTGTCCCTACCAATAATTCTATGTGAACAATATGTTTATAATTTGATATACAGCGTTGTTGCGGCAGTTGCTTCTTTTCCTCTCCCAGCATCTCTGCCTGGTAGCTGCAGCTGCCTGGTCTTGTAGCAGCGCATTGTCTGTGCTGCGCTGTTTAACTCCACTCTGATTTTTCTGCCTTAAGTTCCGCCTTCTCTCTTTCTGATTGTTTGTTTTCTAGTCTATATGTTTGTGTGCGTGCCTGCTTGGAGCGTGAAATAATAAAAATATTACACTAGAATATGGCGATTATCAATAGGCTACGAAAATAGTACAATTAAAAAACTAAATATTATATACGCTAAAACAGGCGAAAGCTTCTGATTGTAGTTTTGTGAAGAAGCATGAGAGGGTTTTGATTTGAGAAATGTAAGTAACCAACGTTAGGATTTATTTAATGAAACTAAATATTCTGAGTCAGACAGGAGTTCAGAAAACTGCTGTTAAAATAAACAAGCAAAGACTGTAAGCAATCAACATTTCTGATTCCCTTTTATCAATATTTCTTTGCTATTATGGTTTTTATTTTTGACGGCAGTTCAGGTGTTATTTCTTTTATAGAACATAACAACACGAGAAGGATGCAAAAGATTTTTTGTTTTCCACATAAAAATAGTTCTATTTAATTGACTTTACTTCTAGAAATACAATAAAGACAAACAGAGGAACACTATTTACATTAATTCTATTTTTCTAGATTTCCACACGGTCCATAAGTAAATTAGTATAAACATTAATGTCTGGTAAATTTTCTACAGATTGTAAAACTTTTGTTTTACAATCTTGTATGATTCCTGCTCTAAGTGGGTCCCTCTGTCTGCTAAAGGCACATTTTAGTGGCCCTATACTCCAGTTAATGATTAATTACTAAATTAGTTGACGATTATTTAAATAATCAATTAATATGATTAATTGTGTCAGCCCAGATGTACAACTTGTATAGCAAAGTTAATATTTTAAATGTTCAGTGTCAGTTCCTCTTATAGTTCCAGTGAAAATGTAAATACAATACATTTATTTGCCGTCCCTTAAATGTATTATTTTGGTTGATACAGAGAGAGCATATTAGATGAAAAAATAAGAGTGGGGTTGACCTAGGCACAATTCTATATCTTCAAAAGAAAACAAAGGATAAATCCACATATAACAGACATATTTAGACTATATTTGGTTAAATAGGCATGTATTTACCTATTGTCTTTGTCGCTGGTAAGTTTAAATGCAAACCTTTTCAAAGTGGAATAAAAGTCCTAATTCCACATTGATCAGAGCCAGTGATGCTTTAAACATTGATAAACAGCATCTAGGGTGTGTAGTGCTTATAAGATTTGTATTAATGTAGCAAGAAAAAGAGCATGCATATTTTTCCAAAGTACCAATGACATCAGACCAATCAAACTGAAGACCAATAGTGTCCCTACCAAAGTTGAAATCAAACCTACGCCCCACAATTTTTCTACTGTTTCTAATCTTCTCTCAGGTATGAACAAATGTTTCGAGTGCTCAAGATTTGAAATTGGAGTCTTGATCAATCAGTGAGCTGTCATTCAAACCTTGTTTTTTACTAAATAACTACATCTGCTCTCAATTAGAAGTAATTGTTGGTATTATTAGGCTACACTATTATATAGTATGCAAATCTGCAATTATTAATTACTTTTTTTTTTTTGCTGATTAGAGAACTATCACCCAGTACATCTGCAGCTGGCATATCGGTATCCACTGACTTTAGTTAAATTTTTTGTCATTTCATCAAAAGAAAGTGCAGTGCACTCTATGTTAGATGTAGAGTGACATGAAGGGATCATCGACATGGTCTGGAGATGTACAGTACGTGTGTGTGTGTGTGTCTGTACTAAAAAGAGTTTCAGCAGAACATTGTAGTGTTGGCTGATGGTGACTTCATATTAAACATTCACATCATATGTTGCACCTCTTCCCTCCACCAGTTTCTTTCATTAACTATTTTTAGATCAAATTATTTTTCTTTTTATATTACTTTTATTTTTTTTTATTTAACTTATATTTATGTAACAGTGCAACCATGTCATTTACAGCTCTTGTCATTTATTTCCTACTGCTTGGGTTTTAACTGGCCCTTTAATTCTGCTAATCAGCTCTCAGTTAGCAGGACCTCAATCTCCAAAGCAGTAAGGTTTTTATTCTTCGGACAGCATTAGATCTACAAGGATTATTTGCAATTACACACTGGAGTTAAGAAGATTTGTTAAATCTCATGGCGTGAGAAAAAAAAAAGTCCAAGAAACTTATGACAATACAAGAATACAGAGGTTTTTGGGGTGGAGTGTTTTTTTCTCTCTGCAGTCATCTAGGAGTCTTTAATGTAATTTAAGATAAAATGACAACTGCTCAACCTATTTAATGTATATTTTTCATAGAAGTATAATTTTATTTAAACAAGATTGCTCTTTAAACAAGTGTGTAGTTTTGTTAGCTTGAGCCTGACAAACATCTGGTCTGTCTTTGTTGATATATTTGGAAAATATAGAAGTTTTGCAACATCATCTTCCTGCTTGTTTCTTGAGATCAGTATAGATTGACCCTTGACAGATATTAGCGCCTATCTGTTTTTTGCTACCCTTCAGTACCCTGACTGGCCATCCTTTTCAAAAATCTCTACTACTGTAACAGTTTGTCTTTACTGCTCCGACTACCTATCCAAGGATATCATCATCATGTAGGCTAAAGAACTCTGACCCCACATTACCTGGAAATCATTCTTATAGTTACACATCAAAATACTAACTTATATTTAATCACTCTAAAATGTTATAAACCTGATTTCCTTGCAATAAAAAACATCTTTAAAGTGTAGACACTTACCTGACAGTACCTCAAGTCGGAATGTCTCTAGGTGATCTGATTCTCATTTATCTGCGTTCTACCTTTCCCCTCCTGCTCCACGATTTCAGTTTCATTTCAGCCAAAGGTTGAGAAAAGTGTAAAGAAACTGGGTGGGATCTGTTGACTCAACTAGGTTTATTGATCCCTACTTGTTGGGAAATCAGCAAATAAAAGTTTTTTTTTTTTTTTTTTTTTTTTTTTACCTGAGAACTGGTGAATGTATATTATCATCAAATAGATTATATTTTAGAAGACAACAGGCTGGACATTGCCCTACCAGATTGTCTGCACAAGGGCAGAATTAATGGTTCTTTGAGTCGCTTTAGGGTTTGCAGCCCCCAAAGCAGGGAAGCAGCCCTTAACCATGTCACTTCAATTGAACTGTTTACAATTGAAGTGTTTGCTATTGCTTAATCACATACATGGCTATAGCACAACTTCTAGTTGAACCATACCTGGATCTTATCATGCTGTATTCAAATGTTTGTATGTTCAGCATTTTGGCTGACAGATTTTAAGAATTATAGCAGTTTTTATATAAGACTTTGCAGTAGAAAATAGTGATGGTGTCTAAGGCTGGAACCTCCTGTCTTAAAGTTCAGTACATGCACAAAAGACGAGGTTGTTTCTAGCCGACAAGACGCCGCTGGCACTATCCAGAGAGTCCAGGACACTGTAGTCCAGGAGGTCTGAGTACAGCCAAGAAATCAGAACCGAGCAGACGAAGGAAGGCAGGGTAATCAAAAGAGATAAGCTAAAGCTGATGTTGACGACATGCTCAGGAACTAGGATCAGCACTGATGACTGGTTGAAGGCTGGTTAAAAAGAGGCTGAAGCAGGTGGAATGTAGATGAACTGTAATGGGAACTGGGTGGAGCTATGCAGGTAAATGAAATAAATAATCTGGCCAGTCATCAGTGCCAACATCATGATATTTCAGTTAGACTGTTGACTAAAAACTAGTGAAACTCAACTAAACAAAGCTACTATTTACAAAGAAGAAGGAAAAACATGGTTTAAAACCATAATCGATGAGATGATGCAATGACATCACAGTTTAGCATAGATTTTGTGCTTGAGAACCAAAGTATATCTTTAAGAGAAAAATGGAGTCTTTTAATCTTTGCGGAAAAAAAGGAAATACTATAAGAATGGTCACGCATTTCTCTTTCCTAAATGTTGATTTTCCTACATTCCGAAGCATAGACATTCATCTGTATTTTTCTCTTAAAAATATAAACATTGATATATGCACTATAGTAATGATGTGTAATACCGCAGATAATGTATCGGAGTGATTGCATATATATATATATATATATATATATATATATATTAGTGCTGTCAAAATTATCGCGTTATTATCGCGTTAACGCGAGGCCATTTTAACGGCGATAATTTTTTTAACGTGAGATTAACGCTATGTGGTTTTATGGTAAAATTTTCCAAGTACATCCCGCTGCAGCCTGCGGGAAGGCAGGGCTATTTTCCCCCAGTCTATGCATTTTCATAGGCTTCTAGAGCGGAGCTCCTCAAGGGAAAAAGACGCTCATACACTGGGTAGCGCTAGTGCCTTTTCTTTAAGCCCCACCACCAACAAACAAGTTGAGTGTCTGGTAACTAGTAGCAACCTGAAATACGCTGAGAAAACAGATTACTGAGGTGAAATGGAATCTGCTACGGCACTCTTGCTGTCACAGGTCGGTATCGTGTGTGTGTGTGGGTGGGTGTGTCTGTGTGTGGGTGGGTGGGTGTGTGTGTGTTCTCATTTTTGTTAAGAGGCTGAAAAGTAACTTTCATAGACTACCTCCATCTAGTGATGTCGGTCTATTGATATTGAAAATTGTTCATTATTATCTTGGTTAATTAACATCTAATGTTAACTCTACTACATTTTATAGCAGTAGGGTAAAATGCTTGTCTTTGTTCAAAAGACTGTATTAACTGTAAAGACTGTCTTTTACATCAGCCTGTTTTCAGGGCCTTTTTTTTTGGCTACATATTTGTTATTTTTTGCTACATGCCTCCCCATCTTCCTGCCATATGTTCTATGGCATAAATCAGTATCTGTGACCTGTTCTCATTTAAAAAAAAGAACATTGGCACAAACCTAGCCTGTATGTATTTTTTGTATGTCATCGAGAGTATTTAAATGATTTTCAATCAGAAAAAAAATTTGCGATTAAAATGCGATTAATCGCGAGTTAACTCAGGCATTGATGCGATTAATCGCGATTAAAAAAATTTAATCGATTGACAGCACTAATATATATATATATATATATATATATATATATATATATATATATATATATATATATATGCATAGAATTTGAGAGAGAGAGCGAGAGAAAGATTTATGAGTGCTGAGTTTTATTCATTCCTCCTAGAGCTCCAAGGCCACAAAATGTCCAAAAAAGAGCAGTTTGTTATTAGGGAGTGCTTTGGATTCTCATAACATTTAGACTCTTTCTCCAAACTGTCTGTCTTTGTTTTCGGTAGAGATTTGTTTTGCCTCTGACACAGCCTTCAACATTTCCATCATTGTAAGTAAGGAAGACAAACTCTGTCTAGATCACAACAGGGTTGAACACCCATAAGGGCTATGCGATGTCTTGTTTTCACTTTGCTAAAATGAAAAAAAAAAATGCTGACCAAGTGAAATGCATCGATCTCTGTTTGTTTAACTGGAGTGAATAGCTGAATACCTTTTTCCGACGACACTCATGTCATCAGACGAGACACAACTAGCAATGATGCCTTCCCGGGGGCTAATAGGTCGGAACCATTAACAGTGTTGATGTGAGAACCTTGACTTTGGAGTCTCTTTCGACATCCTTTGGACGACGAATTAGAAAACTGTATGCTTATTTATGGGCTGATATTGTCTTTGCTCTGTTCCTGCTACTGGTTCGCACTGTTGCTCTAAACTACTGACTTCTCTTTGTCCGTGCTTTTTCACATTGGCCACACCAGAAACTTATTACTTAAAATTCATTAGTCATTAGAAACACTGAGGCAAAATGAAAATGACTTGTGTTGATTGTTTTCTGATATCACCGCTTTGTTTTTCCAGCTGCACTTAAAGGTAAAATTTAAACAGAAGTATTGTACAATGTCAAAATAAAGAAATAAAAGTTGAAACAGTCAAAAATGCATTTTTGATTTCTTTATATGTCATCTTCAGTTATTTTACCTGTGGAAAAGCTACACTAACATGATGCTGGAAAAGATCTGTACATTATTAAATTTTTTTATATAACAGATAGAAAATATATATCAGACAGAAAAATAATGTACAACTTGGAATACTTGGATCCACAAGCCTAATTTATGAAGATATGCTTGCATACTTGGCAAATATATTTTTATTGGATTTGTAAGGATCTTACCGGTACATCTGAAAGATCCATAAACCACTATCTCACAGTTTTTTTCATGGATTCAACTTATGCGGATCCAGAATAGGTATTTTTCCAGATCTGATCCAGATACTTCACATATAATACTCAGGTAATAAACATGATTAAACATGCAATAGCTGAATTAATCTTCAAACATTTTCAGGCTTTTATAAAAAATAAAATAATAGCAAAATTATATTAAATAACTCTGTAAATAAAAATGATTTTTGACAAATCAGATCTGTCCTGTTATTTTCTGATAGATCCATATACAGTGATCTTATTGTATCTTTCAGGATGACAACCCTTGATCAAGTGATTGTGTTTACAATACATATGAACACAGATGGTAAAATATCCTTAGAACAAAGTAAAACATTAAACATGAGCGAGCTGTCAGAAGGCAGAAACTCAAACACAACACGCCCCGTTTCTGTGGTTTCTCTTTCAAGGGAAAAAATAAAAAGTAAAACCCTGTGGTGCAGGATACTACTGCACTTCGGAACAAGGAAATACATGGAAGACTTTTTAGTTTTTCAGACATTGCCTTTGTGGTTTGACACGCCCAAACAGTGATTGCTCTGGTTGCTAAATGGCAGTTTAAACAGAGAGTTAGCACAGGGAGAACTGTTCATCCTGATGACGTCAGCAGAAACAAGCTCTCCAAGCCTTCATAGCAGCCAATGGCATCCAGGAGTCTTCTTCTTAGCTCTCTCTGAATGGTCCTATCCTTCCAGTGTGACAGTTTGGTTGGGGGTTGTTTAAGGACCCAAATGCAGAGACCAGAGAAGCAGAGATGAGGTCTTGTAGGTTTAATGAATAACTGAGGCAGCTATCAAACAAAACAAAATGGCCAAAAAAAACACCAGAAAGTATAAGGGAAAACTCACATGGGAGGCCAGGGACGAGGAAGCAACTGACAGCAACTAAACAACAGGGAATCAGCACTGAGTGACTGCAGAGGTGGAGTATATAAGGGGAACAGAACAAAGGATGAGCTAATGAGCTAAATATGGAGCATGTGTGAGTGGAACTGACGAGGGGGCCAAGGGGAAAGGAAACAAACACAAGGGGGCAACAGAGAGTAACTAAAGACTGCTTGTAGCTACTGGAAAATAAACCAAATATCAACAAAACAAAAAATAAATAAATAAACTCAGAGGCCCACAAGGGGAGAACCATAACAGTATCCCCCTAGTAGGCGGTTACCAGATGCTCTTAGAGGCCAAACATCATCTGGAAAAAAGAACAAGAAGAAAAGAAAACACAAAATAAAAACACCCAGGGAGGGCGGACAGGGGCCCCTGGAAGGAGGGTAAGAAACAAAAACCAGGCTGAGATCTGTGCTTTTAGCTAATTTTAAACCTCCCCAGTCATCAAGGGTCATTGGTTGGCCCGGGTGATGATGTTCTTACGGTGCTGATTTTGCATTGCAATTGTTGATGTCGGCTGACGCAGTCATGGCATACTCATCAATATTGATCTTGTTGTCATATGTAGCTGTAGCTTTGAACACATTCCAGTCAGAGCACTCAAGACAGTGCTGGAGTACCGCCATGGCACCCTCAGTCCACACCTCCTTCATCGTAGGTTTTGTTCTGATCAGCAAGGGCCTGTATGCTGGAAGAAGCATGACAGATAGGTAGTCTAACCAGCCGAGGTGGGGGCAGGGGGCTACTTTGAATGTGCCTTCAGTTTGAAAGAGGCTTGAGAGCTGAGGCCACTGCCAGCTCATTTAATGATTTACTGTAGGGTATGTGTCTTTTCTTTAAGTTATAATGTGTGTAATAGAAATGATTTATGAAACTGCGTCATCTTTGGATACTCATCAAAACTCATGTTAAAATATATACAGCAGAAGCACAGCTGAAGGCATCAGGTCCTTTGATGGAGCTGAGACAGTTCATATGGAAGTATTCAATTCTCAATGACTGTTACCTTTAACACTGGGCGTTTTTCGAAGCCATTTGCTGCCATACAATACAAAATTGAAATAAATGGTCTAAATACAAAGCTCTGGTACCTCTGTAAAGTTAAGACTATTCTAGTAGCACCACCTATGTAACCGTTAGTGATTAATTTGTGACAAAAGTAATAATTATTCTATTTATTTGAATTTCTCCCAAAATAAACAGTGTATTATCCACCAAAACACTTTTTTTAACATCAACAAAGTAATCCACTGAATCCAGTGTTAGATAAAACCTTGATGAGTGTTGAAATAAAACTACTAATAGTGGTATTATAACTCACTCATTGTTAACCATTTAACACTTTCCAAGTTTTATTTTAACTCAGTTTAGTGTAGACGAGTTTATATATTATATACTTGAAAAGTACTGAATTTAACTCCCTAGGAGTCAAAGTAACATTTCAAAATTTGCTGTGTACTAATGATCACTTATTACCCCAGATAATAATACAATAATACAGTATTCATTTCACCATCTTTACTGATTTTCTGACTTCTAAATGTAGAGAAAATTATACCAGACCTCTCCTATCACTGCTGACAATATACACTATATTGCCAAAAGTATTTGCTCACCTGCCTTGACTCACATATGAGCTTAAGTGACATCCCGTTCCTAATCCATAGGGTTCAATATGACGTCGGTCCACCCTTTGCAGCTAGAACAGCTTCAACTCTTCTGGGAAGGCTGTCCACAAGGTTTAGGAGTGTGTTTATGGGAATTTTTGACCATTCTTCCAGAAGCGCATTTGTGAGGTCGCACACTGATGTTGGACGAGAAGGCCTGGCTCTCAGTCTCCGCTCTAATTCATCCCAAAGGTGTTCTATCGGGTTGAGGTCAGGACTCTGTGCAGGCCAGTCAAGTTCATCCACACCAGACTCTGTCATCCATGTCTTTATGGACCTTGCTTTGTGCACTGGTGCACAGTCATGTTGGAAGAGGAAGGGGCCAGCTCCAAACTGTTCCCACAAAGTTGGGAGCATGGAATTGTCCAAAATGTCTTGGTATGCTGAAGCATTCAGAGTTCCTTTCACTGGAACTAAGGGGCCAAGCCCAGCTCCTGAAAAACAACCTCACACCATAATCCCCCCTCCACCAAACTTTACACTTGGCACAATGCAGTCAGACAAGTACCGTTCTCCTGGCAACCGCCAAACCCAGACCCGTCCATCAGATTGCCAGATGGAGAAGCGCGATTCGTCACTCCAGAGAACGCGTCTCCACTGCTCTAGAGTCCAGTGGCGGCGTGCTTTACACCACCGCATCCGACGCTTTGCATTGCACTTGGTGATGTATGGCTTGGATGCAGCTGCTCGACCATGGAAACCCATTCCATGAAGCTCTCTGCGCACTGTTCTTGAGCTAATCTGAAGGCCACATGAAGTTTGGAGGTCTGTAGTGATTGACTCTGCAGAAAGTTGGCGACCTCTTCGCACTATGCGCGTCAGCATCCGCTGACCCCGCTCCGTCAGTTTACGTGGCCTACCACTTCGTGGCTGAGTTGCTGTCGTTCCCAAACACTTCCATTTTCTTATAATACAGCTGACAGTTGACTGTGGAATATTTAGGAGCGAGGAAATTTCACGACTGGATTTGTTGCACAGGTGGCATCCTATCACAGTTCCACGCTGGAATTCACTGAGCTCCTGAGAGCGACCCATTCTTTCACAAATGTTTGTAAAAACAGTCTGCATGCCTAGGTGCTTGAATTTATACACCTGTGGCCATGGAAGTTATTGGAACACCTGATTCCAATAATTTGGATGGGTGAGCAAATACTTTTGGCAATATAGTGTATATCTCAGCGGTTTTAATGCACAAAAAAGGTAATTGGTTATTTTATGGCTTCCCTGAATCAAACAACCCCCTCACCTGTAGATGAATAAGAATAGAAAGAGCTAAATGTCTACAGCTCTGTCTGTATCGTGTGACCTGCATCTTACTGCAATCAATGTACTTTATCATAAAGAGAGCAGCTGAAACACTTTTTAAATTTTATGTGCAAAATAAAGATACTTTTATACTTTTTAGTCTCTGGTCCTCCTACGATTACCTTGAAATGCAATACAATATGATACAAAATGTTCAAAAACAAATCATATTATACTTTATTCATAAATCAATTTTCATACAATAAATGTCATTCAAATTACCTCTCACATATAAAATCCAACCTATACATAACTACACTCATACTCACCCCCAGCCCATCACAAACACACCCACACACATAAACAGCAAGGGTGTTAAGCTAGAAAAAAGGCTGAGACTTCCACCTCACCCAGGGCGCAGGGATAAGGACCAAGGCAGCTGAAGCCAACCACTGCCCTTAATACAACAAGGCCTATCAAAACAGAGCTAACAGGCTGATATTTAAAGAGAGCTTCAGCAAACACTTGAACATTAGAAAACTATTAGCAGAAACAGTGTACAACTGTCTTACAGAGAGCCACAATATGAGTACTGTCAGATATTTCTTGAGAAACAGACGATTAAGCCAATGTCTTAAGTCTTTTTCTTTTCTCATCTTCAGTTGGAAAACCAATGCCTATATGGTCTTAGTTGAAAACATCCGAGCCAGATCCTTTACCTGCAACACATCAAACAATACGCTGTGCACATGACAAAAGTAAAAGTATACTTAAGGTAGGCTAAAGTGATGTTCTACCTTTGGACCAGAAGCGATAACAGAGTCCTGAGAGGCTTCATCTGCTGCAGCAGAACATAAGTACATTTCAGTGGTAAAACTAGCAGTAGTGTCGCATTTTTAAAGATTATGCAGCTAAATTATACATACAGGATTTGTGTTCCTGATAAATTGTGGTTGCCTTTGCCGTTTGTTTTCCTGTTAGACAACTTTTTGAGTGCAGTAATGTCTGTAAACAAAAGAGAGATTATCATGTTAGAAACAATTAGGCTCTAAAAACCAAACAACTTGTAATTTTGCTTGAAAGTCAAGCAATATCTTAACACAAGAAGAGCATAACTAAAGCTGGAAAAAACAGGATATATGGTTTTCAAATTGTCTATAGCTAAATATCAGTAAAAGCAATTTCATTTGGTGAAGTCAATCTGTGGCTCAGTGGTTTGAAGCCTTAAAAGCATTTTCTTCTCAGTTCAGCCTTCCTTACAGAAGAAATGCTAAAGTGACCACTATATTTTACAGCATGGACCATATTGTGAATATACCTGTGACAACAGGGCTGGACCAGTCACCAGTCAATAGAGTTTATTCCTGGTGGGCCAACGCTAGGGGTGGAACGGTTCACAAAATCCACGGTTCGGTTCACGGTTTTGTGGTCACGTTTTTCGGTTCGGTATATGTTGATTGTTACACCGAAATCCCATAAATATTAATGAAAAAATCCACACAAAATAAATGAATTGTAATTATTTTTAATGATCCGCGGAAACCCAGGATCGATTTGCTGCTTTGAATTTAATCATCTTGCGCATGCCCTCTACGATCTCAGAGCGAGGCGGACGGAAGCCACAGCGGAGGCTGTAGGCTTTGCTTTGCGCAGGCGGTCTGGAGCGCAGCGGGGCAGAGGGGAGCATGACGGAGTATGTGGGATTTCGGGGTTAGCATGACATGTTGGTCATGTTGCTGTTAGCATAAACAAAACGTGTTGCACAATGCTTGCACACTGTTGCACTTTTATCCACAACTTTCTTTCCGCCGTCATCGTAGGTCACTCTAAATGCAAAGTGGTCCCATACAGCAGACCTATAAAGTGCTGCTGGCGCGTCTTCCAACTCCTGTTCTTTCCCACTCGCCATACCCACACAATTCTCCACACAACTGATTTTTTTCGGCTACACCCGGCTACGCTGCTTCGCTTTTTCTTCTTCTTCTTGTTTACTACTGGTGGATGGCTTTGGTTGCAGTACCGCCACCTTCTGCTCTGGAGTGATCACGCTTCGCCTATGAGAAAAAGGAGCTGCGCATAAACCGAACGAAACACGCGCAAACCGAACCGAGACAGTCGAACCGAACGGTTCGGACGGTTTTCATACACCGTTTCATCCCTAGCCAACGCTCATTTAAAGTCTGTTATAATATAGTCAAAATCTATCTATCATTTAATATTTTACTCTATATAAAATAATACATCCATTTACAAGATATAATTAAATGTTTTAAAAATTTATTGTATCCACCATAACGGTAACACAAAAAACATGGCCTTTTTTCTGAAGTTTTATATATATACACTACCGTTCAAAAGTTTGGGGTCACCCAAACAATTTTGTGTTTTTCCCAAAAGTCACACTTATACCATCATACGTTGCAAAATGGATAGAAAATAGAGTCAAGACATTGACAAGGTTAGAAATAATGATTTGTATTTGAAATAAGATTTTTTTTTTCATCAAACTTTGCTTTTGTCAAAGAATCCTCCATTTGCAGCAATTACAGCATTGCAGACCTTTGTAATTCTAGCTGTTAATTTGTTGAGGTAATCTGGAGAAATTGCACCCCACGCTTCCAGAAGCAGCTCCCACAAGTTGGATTGGTTGGATGGGCACTTCTTGCGTACCAAACTTGACCGTTGCTCCCACAACAGCTCATGGGGTTCAGATCTGGGGACTGCGCTGGCCATTCCATTACCAGCTGTCCGCTTCTGCTCTAAACAGTTCTTGCACAATTTGGAGGTGTTTCTAGGGGTCATTGTCCTGTTGTAGGATGGCTCCAATCAAGCGCTGTCCACTGGGTATGGCATGGTGTTGCAAAATGGAGTGATAGCCTTCCTTATTCAGAATCCCTTTTACCCTGTACAAATCTCCCACCTTACCAGCACCAAAGCAACCCCAGACCATCACATTACCTCCACCATGCTTAACAGATTTCGTCAGGCATTCTTCCAGCATCTTTTCATTTTTTCTGCATCTCACAAACGTTCTTCTTTGTGATCCAAACACCTCAAACTTGGATTCATCCGTCCACAACACTTTTTTCCAGTCTTCCTCTGTCCAATGTCTGTGTTCTTTTGCCCATCTTAATATTTTTCTTTTATTGGCCAGTCTCAGATATGGCTTTTTCTTTGTCACTCTGAAGCCCAGAATCCTGCAGCCGCCTCTTCACTGTAGATGTTGACACTGGTGTTTTGCAGGTACTATTTAATGAAGATGCCAGTTGAGGACCTGTGAGGCGTCTATTTCTCAAACTAGAGACTCTAATGTACTTATCTTCTTGCTCAGTTGTGCAACGCGGCCTCCCACTTCTTTTTCTACTCTGGTTAGAGCCTGTTTGTGCTGTCCTCTGAAGGGAGTAGTACACACCGTTATAGGAAATCTTCAATTTCTTAGCAATTTCTCGCATGGAATAGCCTTCATTTCTAAGAACAAGAATAGACTGTCCAGTTTCAGATGAAAGTTCTCTTTTTCTGGCCATTTTGAGCGTTTAATTCATCCCACAAATGTGATGCTCCAGAAACTCAATCTGCTCAAAGGAACCTTCCTTTGAGCAGTTTTGTAGCTTCTGTAACAAGCTTACGGTAACTGTTTTCAGATGTGTGAACATGATTACACAAGGGTTTTCTAATCATCAATTAGCCTTCTGAGCCAATTAGAACACTGGAGTGATAGTTGCTGGAAATGGGCCTCTATACACCTATGTAGATATTGAACCAAAAACCAGACATTTGCAGCTAGAATAGTTATTTACCACATTAGCAATGTATAGTGTATTTCTTTAAAATTAAGACCAGTTTAAAGTTATCTTCACTGAAAAGTACAGTACTTTTCCTTCAAAAATAAGGACTTTTCAATGTGACCCCAAACTTTTGAAAGGTAGTGTGTGTATATATATATATATATATATATATATATATATATATTAGTGCTGTCAATCGATTAAATTTTTTAATCGCGATTAATCGCATCAATGCCTGAGTTAACTCGCGATTAATCGCATTTTAATCGCACATTTTTTTCCTGATTGAAAATAATTTAAATACTCCCGATGACATACAAAAAAATACATACAGGCTAGGTTTGTGCCAATGTTCTTTTTTTTAAATGAAAACAGGTCACAGATACTGATTTATGCCATAGAAACATATGGCAAGAAGATGGGGAGGCATGTAGCAAAAAATAACAAATATGTAGCCAAAAAAAAGGCCCTGAAAACAGGCTGATGTAAAAGACAGTCTTTACAGTTAATAGTCTTTTGAACAAAGACAAGCATTTTACCCTACTGCTATAAAATTTAGTAGAGTTAACATTAGATGTTAATTAACCAAGATAATAATGAACAATTTTCAATCAATACATCAAAATCAATAGACCAACATCACTAGATGGACGTTCTATGCTCTAGAAAGTTACTTTTCAGCCTCTTAACAAAAATGAGAACACACACAGACACACCCACCCACACACACACACGCGATACCGAGCTGTGGCGTACACATGCGGCAAGAGTGCCGTAGCAGATTCCATTTCACCTCAGTAATCTGTTTTCTCAGCGTATTTCAGGTTGCTACTAGTTACCAGACACTCAACTTGTTTGTTGGTGGTGGGGCTTAAAGAAAAGGCACTAGCGTCACCCAGTGTATGAGCGTCTTTTTCCCTTGAGGAGCTCCGCTCTGGAAGCCTATGAGAAATGCATACACTGGGGGAAAATAGCCCCGCCTTCCCGCAGGCTGCAGGGGGATGTACTTGGAAAATTGTACCATAAAACCACATAGCGTTAATCTCACGTTAAAAAAATTATCGCCGTTAAAATGGCCTCGCGTTAACGCGTTAATAACGCGATAATTTTGACAGCACTAATATATATATATATATATATATATATATATATATATATATATATATATATATATATATATATATATGTATATATATAATGGTAGACCAACCGGACATTGCGGTGGTGGACAGAGAGGGGAGAAAAGCCATTGTGGTTGATGTAGCAATACCAAGTGACTGCAACACCAAGAAAAAGAAACATGAAAAACTAGAGAAATACCAGGGGCTCAGAGAAGAGCTGGAGAAAACCTGGAGGGTATTTTGGTGTGTTTTCTATTTTGGTCTTTACAATACCAGAATTTGCCCAGAGTTTTTGTTTTTTTTTATAGAATTTTTACAATTGTTTTCATTATTTATTTAGTTGTTTCCCCATATATTAATTTTTGAAACCACTCAAGGTACGTCTTTCTTCTGGTTAAAATGAAAGAAAGGCATATCAGTATAGAAAAATTGGGCATTATTCTACAGTGATTACAGTAATTAAACACGTAATAAAAATAATGTGACCCAAAATTTCTTTGTTAAAATCTGACTGGCCAAGGCATCAAGAAGTAATTATAAAAAGGATGTCCGGATAATTCAATGTAAGAAGTAAATTATCGACAGTTTAGGTGGACGGCAGGTTGCACAACAAATATTGCTGCCTGGAACAGATCTGTAAAAAAACACAGACAGCTGGGCTGGTCTGATTGCACAGCCTGGAGTGGGAAACAGGAATCTTAGATAAGAATAGTTACAGTGTTCACTGTCTGGTGTCATTCGCATGAAATCATCATCTAGGTGTCGAAGTTCCAGTAGGGTTTGGAGATTATAAATTAAAAGTATAGTGGATGATGTTCTTTTTCAGGGTGGATAATCAAAATGTCAATCATTCTGGTGATATGTTTACGTAAGTCCATCCTACGTGCTCATCCCCATTTTCACTTAATGGTGGTGAATCTGACATAGTGTAAAAATTGCAAATTTTATTTCGCAAAGTAAGCTTCATGAGATATGCAAACAACAACTTTTAAACAGAGCTTGCACAAGAAGAAATGGGCTTGTGCATGGTCATGCATGTGTTTAATGTGCTTTCCCTCCCGGGAGCGGGTACAGGGTTGTGCCTGTGCATATTTTTTTTTAAGTGGAGAGGGCGGGTTTGCAAAAATCCTCCACTATAACATTAAGAGAGATGAATGTGCCACCAAAATCACTAGAAACAACACAAATAGGCAGAGTAGAGGCAGAAGCACAGCAAAAAGGTGAGCCACACATAATGATAGCGTCATGAAACAACCGACCAAATTCAACAATATAAACAGCAATATGTGATTGCTATGAAAATGGTAATTGCAGTAATCACTACAAGCAAGATAATCATTTGTAAAAAGTATTTTCCTATCGGACAATATGAAATAAGTGAAACACCTGTTTCGGTCTGCACTCTTGTCCGAGTTTAATCTTTGGCCCGACTGCTGTTTGCTTCCCCAAAAACATCTGAGCTAGCTCCTTCACCTGGAAAACAATCAGTGTTTAGTGAAATATGCATGTGAGAGTCAGTTTTTTTTCCACAGAACACACAGCAAATAACCTTTCGGACCTTATTCCCGGTGGAAACGACATGCTTGGCTGTTTCAGATGCTGCAAAGGACAGCAAAAAAAATTACATAATTTATTTCATCACTTAGAAGCCGTCCTGGTGTGAATAAAACTAATACTTACATGGAGGTGCATCCTTTTTCTGTGAATCCTTTGATGCTGTTATGTCAGAAGTAATTTCTGTAGCACTCTGTACACAAAAGAGAAATGTCATTAGGTAAATTATCTATACTATTAACAATGGAGTTGATTTACATAGAGCAGGATAATGCGGGAGCGATGACTGAGATCACTGATATGGGACCTAAGACAGTTATTCCCATCCTTCAACTTTCCATTAGGCCAAGCCTTGAGCCTCATTGTTACCAAAGACATCACTTATCAAAATAATGTCATTTATTTAGTTCCCTGATGCAGCAAAAAAAGTGTTACCTCCATTGTACTTACAATTTGGGACTGCAAATTATTGTTTGCTTAGATAAAACAGGTACACATTAAGACTTGCCAGGTTTGTTTGTATTGTTTAGACTGCTCTCAAATTCAGTGGTTGTCATTCAATATAACTGCACTTAATATAACTGAGTCAATACAACAGAATCTGAATCCCCTGGATTGGAGTAAAAGATTGAAGCCACTTCAACATGGGGACTGAATCTACAGTTGACTATAAATACAGATAAATGGATTAATTTATACAGCGATTTTCTACCCCCCCTGCACACAGATTCATTAACTGGTATTCAAATTGGTGACCTAGAGTTAGGTGACTTACCTAAGGGGAGTATATACTGAAACAATTAAGCTACACTAATTAGTTAATTACATTGATTGCTTTCAATTGAATAATAAAAATAAAAACAAACACTACTAACCAAGAAAATTAACGAAAAACATAGTTTAATACTTATTTTTTATTAAAAAGACAACTCACACACACTAGTTCTACAACATAAACCTGAGTGTTGTAAAAACACCAACATAAAACAATACAATATAGAGGCTGACAGGCAGTTCTTCAAGAATGAATACATGAAAGCTCAGCGGTATGTAAGCATTCACTGTGACTCTGGGTGGCATGTGGGCAATTGAATGTAATAATGTAAACAGATGCAAAGCACTGCAACATATTTTTCAAAATATTCAAACAGATATTTGCCAAATATAAGAGGAACATCGTACTTTGGTTTGAAGAAAGCACTTTAATTTTATTATAATTTAGGATTTTACAGTTTGAAGAAATAGAAGACTACACCATATGCCATCCGTCACAAGGTTGTGCATGAGAAGGAAGGGCTATATATACTCTATGCATCAATTAGGTAGTTCACATTGTATTACTTCTTCAGCTCCTTGAGTTATTTACTGTCCCAGGTGCTTCAGCTCCAGAGTAAGTGTTGGGGCCGGTATGATTTAAGGAGGGCTGTCCCTTGTACGCTGAAATTAGGACCGGCCCACCGGGCAAATGCCCAGTATTACAGATTACCAGTCCGAGCCTGCTAACTGGAGGGTGGGTATTGAGGTTAGGCAATATGTCAAAATTTTCCAATCGATTTTCATCAGTCTTTTTTTAAATGAGGATGGACGATATTTCCATGCAGTTGACTTTGTGGCAAATACAAGTACACAACGTCTGCTGCACGGCTGGTAATATGGTTAACCACCCACACTTCTAAAACCTAATAAGGTAAACGTGCTAGTTTTCTTGACAAAAATTTACATGTTGCGTCTGGTGGCAATAGTTTCCTCTTTTCCAGTTGCCCTGAGTTTCTTTATCGTTGTTCATTTGTTTATCTGATTGCACAAAATCAAACAGACTGCAAACGGGTCAGAATGCAGTGCATCACTAGATAAAGATAAGATAAGGTATAAGGTACTTTGATAAGATAGATAGAAAATTTTGAACCAATCTGACTGTATGATCTGGTTGAATTGTCTCTGTAAAGTGCATTGCGATGATATTTGTTGTGAATTGGCGCTATATAAACAAAATGAATAAAAGAAACAATATGGAATTGATGAATGAAAACATGGTGGGCAGCCAGCTGCACGACCTGGTGTGCCTAAAGTGATTGGACATGTGAAAAATTAAAAAACGATGGAGAGGTTGTGGCACAATTACATTTGTGTCCAATAAAAAATCTTATTAAATTAAAATCCAAAGCAGCAGGTCAGGTTTCAAAGAAAATTAGTGGTACATACCTTTAAAATAACCAACACTGAATCTTTGACACTGTCTTTATATGCACAGTTTGAAAAAAAAAAAAAAAGCCTCCATATATAGGACATTAATATTGATATAAACAGACTGAGGAAACTGAAGAATATAGTATATACCTCCTCCTTCCTGTCTTCAACCTTCAGTTGAACTCTTGTTTCCTGGGTTGGGACGATAGAAGGTCTTTGAGCCCGAAGCTGCACCTAACAGATTTAAAACAATTGTGTTAATATTAAAGAGAAGGAAACCCTTAAAGACAAAACTGATTCAGTAAAAATAGGAAGCAAAATAAATCTACTCTCTGTTTTGATCCAAGTTTCTCCTTGGCTCCAGCTGTTTTCTCTTGGGGCGCAAAGGCAGAAAACCTCTGCACCAGTTCTTTCACCTGAAATAACCAAATATCACATGAAAGTTGGATCTGAAGAAACAACTTTAATTAAAAAGCCTGTTTTCAAGGTGACCCAATGAAGAGCCGACAAGTGTTTCAATTTTTTTCTGCTTTTCCATCCATCCATCCATCCATCCATCCATCCATCCATCCATCCATCCATCCATCCATCCATCCATCCATCCATCCATCCATCCATCCATCCATCCATCCATCCATCCATCCATCCATCCATCCATCCATCCATCCATCCATCCATCCATCCATCCATCCATCCAGGGTTGCAGTGGGGCTGTTTACTATCTCTGGCAGTACAACCTGGACAGGTTGCCAGTTTGACGCAGGGCAACACAGAGACATACCACAATGCACACACTTACACTTAAGGACAATTTAGAGAAGCCAGTTAAGCTAACAGTCATGTAATTGGACTGTGGGAGGAAGCCGGGGTGCCCTGAGAGAACCCATGCATGCTCAGAGAGAACATGAAATCTCCATGCAGAAAGACCCCAGACCAGGAATCGAACTCAGAAAATTCTTGCTGGAAGGCAATTGTGCTATCATCTGCTTCATCATGCAGCCCGTTAGACTTTTCCACAAACATGATTTTACTTTATTTCAATCTTTACCTTCATTTCCCCACTCATTGTATTTGACTTTTGCAGGTCATTCGGGTCATCTCGCTGTTGCAGTTGCTTCACTCTGAATGAACGTATGTTCCTCTTCGGCGGCACCACAGGGGGAACTTCGCTGCTCACCTGGAAACATTTCACATACGTCATCAAGATAAGACAATGAGGTCTGAAAAGATTAAGGTGTTGGAAAAGGTAAAAGATGTTTACCTGCTCAGCAGCTGCTGTTTCTCTGTTTGAGGTTTCTTTTGTGGAGATGGGAGGCGCTGTGAAACCTACAGGTAAAAATAAGTCATTCTGGTTTCTATTTTCTATTCTTCTAGCTTCATTCTTGTGCTGAATGAATGACCATATTATACATACATGACTTGTCTTTCTTCACCGGGGAACTGAATTTTGATGAAGGCGTCACATTCTGACTCAGAAAAACAAAAGTTATAAGCTTTTATAGAAAAGCTCTGAAGGTTAAATGGAAAGAACATTAAAAGAAAATTCCAGTCAGCGAGGAATAATCAATGGATCATTATCTATAACTAAAACTAATACTTTTGTGTTGATTTTATGAATTTGGCGTTATTCAGGAAAAAAAAATTAAAATAATAATTTACGTCACAATCACTGAGTACAGGAGTGGCCATTTTTGCCCAAATATAGTAATGCCTCACTCCTGACATCTGGCAGTGACATCACGGTGCGGTAAGGCTAGCGCCATTCTCCTCGCTTTACAAGCAAAATCAATGGGAACTACCAGACACATCTGCAATCAGCAACAATTATTGAAGATTTCCAGAGGACTTCACCATTGAAATTCACCAGAGCTATAGTTAAACTGACAATGCCCACGTGCATGGCAGTTGGATGTTGGAATATATCAGGTAAGAGTGAGAAAAAAATTGTTATTTCACCTTTCCAACTCATGATCCACCAAGGGTTCGTCGTTGGATTGCCAACTTGAAGAGGGAGGTTTTGCTATCAACGGAAACGGAAAAACACGTAATATGTAGCCAACATTTGGAAGAAAAATGCTTTCAAGATTACTTGGATAATAGCACGTTGTGACAAACACCAGGTACAGCACTGGGACTTGCTCAACAGCCGATACCGCACCGTGACGTCACAAACCGGCAGTAATGTTCTCTGACAAACACTGATGTTTGCTTGTTAAACATGACTGTATGCAGACACCTCTGCTGCTAAGTGGGTTTAGGTCTGCATTCCCCCATGCAATTGTTTAAAATCTTTGAGTGTTCACCATTAATAAACACAAATTTGAGCATAGACAGGTAGCACAGCTTCGCTGAGGTTTCACTATGGCCCGCCGGTATGAGGATCCTCTGCTGCTCAGAACAACATCATCATATCTTTACCTTCATTTCCCCACTCATTGTATTTGACTTTTGCAGGTCATTCGGGTCATCTCGCTGTTGCAGTTGCTTCACTCTGAATGAACGTATGTTCCTCTTCGGCGGCACAACAGGGGGAACTTCGCTGCTCACCTGGAAACATGTCACATACGTCATCAAGATAAGACAATGAGGTCTGAAAAGATTAAGGTGTTGGAAAAAGTAAAAGAGGTTTACCTGCTCAGCAGCTGCTGTTTTTCTGTTTGAGGTTTCTTTTGTGGAGATGGGAGGCGCTGTGAAACCTACAGGTAAAAATAAGTCATTCTGGTTTCTATTTTCTATTCTTCTAGCTTCATTCTTGTGCTGAATGAATGACCATATTATACATACATGACTTGTCTTTCTTCACCGGGGAACTGAATTTTGATGAAGGCGTCACATTCTGACTCAGAAAAACAAAAGTTATACCGTATTTTCACGACTATAAGGCGCACTTAAACGTCTTTTTTTTCCCTCAAAATGTGCGGTGCGCCCTATGGTGCGGTGCGCCCTAAGTGTGTTGTAACTGAGACTTTTGAGACCACCTCATTGAGGAGATGATGAAAGAGTGGCTGAATGTAAGGAGACCAGGTGTTTTTTTTTTCCACCCCTCACCATCGCTGTTAATATGTAACTCCATGCGTGCCCATCTCACAGCTGATGTGAAAAACATGGGGAAACAAATGAATGCTGTGCTTGCTGTTCAACCGCTCAACATCGGTGTGAACCGGACCCAGCAGGTGCAGCAGAAGCAGCGAGTTTACATGCAAAGTCAATGGTTGACGCGCGTATAGGTGCAGCAAAAGGTCCTGCAGCGCGTTTTGGTGCAGCACGTCGGGAGCGTTTAAGCATCTGAAGCGCCGCCAACGCGCTGCTGCTGCTCAAGATGGAAAAATTGAAGTTTTGCTGCTGGACGCGCCGCATCAACCAATCAGAGAAGCAGATCTGGGAGCTGACAGCGAGACAGACAGCGCTCTGATGACATATGATATTAGATGAAAAAGGCTGGGTGGATGCGTGGCTGAGGCAGGTGTATCTGAGAAGACTAGGTGGTTTTTTCCACGCATCACCATCGCTGCGTGCCCATCTCACAGCCGATGTGAAAAAAAGGTGAATCAAATGAACGCTGTGCTCGCCGTTATCCCGGGGGTCTGACAAAGGAACTTCCACCGCTCGACATCGGTTTGAAGCGGCCGTTCAAAGTAAGGCTGCGAGCGGCGTGGGAGCGATGGATGACAGACGGAGACCACAGTTTCAGGATAATGGGAAGGCAGCGCCGGGCAAGTTACGCCACCGTTTGCGGATGGATTGTAGATGCTTGGACTACTACGTGTCTGCTGGCTCTGTTGTTCAAGCTTTTGCAAAAGCCGGCATTATTTCTGAGGAGCCGCGCTGCACGGAAAGTGACTCTGACAGCGAAGAAGGGGAAACTGGCATGTCTGATTTAGCGCAGCTGTTTAATTCAGAAACAGAGGATGATGACTTTGATGGGTTTGATTAATACTTTGTAATAAATACATGAATAAAGCACAATCATACTCAGTTTTGCTCCTGCTCTATTTTTCTACCTGAAAGCTTAATTCAACAGCTGCCTCTGGGCGCGTCTCCTCCTCTTCAGCGCGGTGGCTGGCAGGTGTTTTTTCATCTAAATAATCTAAATCTTGCAGCTATATTTGCTGTGATCAGTGGGAATAAAGTAGTTTTAATATGTTTTTAAGTGAGAAAGTCCACCTGAAAACTTAATAATTGCAGTCAGTTCATCCAGATTATCTATTTCTGTCGGAGGCACTCAGACCCCCACATACCAGCGGTGCACCGACAGTAAATCCCTTCAACAGCAGCCTCACCGCGGCTGCTGGCAGGTGTTTTTCATCTAAATAATTTTAACTGCAGGCACCAGGATACCGGCAATAAAAGCGAACATATTCCGTCGGCAGGTTTCAGGATTTTAAGTTAATTTAGGAGTGATCACAGCGCTGTGTCATCTGCGATGTGTCTGTCTCACGGCGCCTGCTGCCAGGTTTGATTAATACTTTGTAATAAATACATGAATAAAGCACAATCATACTCAGTTTTGCCCCCGCTGTATTTTTAAATACGCAGTAGAGGTATTTAAAGGTAGTAGAGGACATGTACCTGTATATAAAAAACGCGCCCTATAGTCCGGTGCGCCTTATGTGTGTGTTAAATACAGAAATGGGACACATAACTGAGAGTGCGCCTTTTAGTCCGGTGCGCCTTATGGTCGTGAAAATACGGTAAGCTGTTATAGAAAAGCTCTGAAGGTTAAATGGAAAGAACATTAAAAGAAAATTCCGGTCAGCAAGGAATAATCAATGGATCATTATCTATAACTAAAACTAATACTTTTGTGCTGATTTTATGAATTTGGCGTTATTCAGTAAAAAAAATTAAAATAATAATTTACGTCACAATCACTGAGTACAGGAGTGGTCATTTTTCCCCAAATATAGTAATGCCTCACTCCTGACATCTGGCAGTGACATCACGGTGCGGTAAGGCTAGCGCCATTCTCCTCGCTTTACAAGCAAAATCAATGGGAACTACCAGACAAATCTGCAATCAGCAACAATTATTGAAGATTTCCAGAGGACTTCACCATTGAAATTCACCAGAGCTATAGTTAAACTGACAATGCCCACGTGCATGGCAGTTGGATGTTGGAATATATCGGGTAAGAGAGAGAAAAAAATTGTTATTTTACCTTTCCAACTCATGATCCACCAAGGGTTCGTCGTTGGATTGCCAACTTGAAGAGGGAGGTTTTGCCATCAACGGAAACGGAAAAACACGTAATATGTAGCCAACATTTGGAAGAAAAATGCTTTCAAGATTACTTGGATAATAGCACGTTGTGACAAACACCAGGTACAGCACTGGGACTTGCTCAACAGCCGATACCGCACCGTGACGTCACAAACCGGCAGTAATGTTCTCTGACAAACATTGATGTTTGCGTGTTAAACGTGACTGTATGCAGACACCTCTGCTGCTAAGTGGGTTTAGGTCTGCATTCCCCCATGCAATTGTTTAAAATCTTTGAGTGTTCACCATTAATAAACACAAATTTGAGCATAGACAGGTAGCACAGCTTCGCTGAGGTTTCACTATGACCCGCCGGTATGAGGATCCTCTGCTGCTCAGAACAACATCATCATATTTAAGTAGGATCATAATCCTGATGAACTGACTGGATTAAAAACTTTGAACTTGTTTTATTATTTAAAGAAAAAGCCGTGAAGTGTTTGGTAACTTTTGCACTATTTTGGTTACTTTTAACTATATCTTTGCCAAATCCCTCATAGTAAATCTCTTACTTGGAGTAATGGTATACCATCCACTTTATTTAAATACCAATGAAAAAATAACAATTGTCTTTGCTTTGTTGTTAAAACTATTATGCACCATATAAAACACTCTTTCGTGCTTATTTCCTATTTGTTTATTTACACTATTTCACAGTATAAAGTGCTAGGCTTGCTTTTGACCACTGCTTTCTGTAAAAATAAATATCTTATATTTGCCTTTATATAAGAATTTTGGGTTATACCACTCAGCCCTAGTTCTTAGGTTCTCAGAGCTGCTCTATTCTCTGAGAAACATGTAAAACCAAAAAAATGTATTGGAAAAAAGAACATTTCTAAATTTAGTTTTCTAAAACATGCAAGCATAAAAACACTGAAATTTCACCTGTTCATCTTCCTTGCTGTCCTTTTTTGACTGAACCATTTCCCCATTGATGATGACTGAAGATCTTGTATTTTTCTCTGGCTTTCCAGCGAAAGAATGTAGGTTCTTTTTCTTAGGCAGAACAGGAGGTCGAGCTTTTGGATGTTTTCTGACGATATGGTTTATCTAAAAGAAGCAGATAAACAGATTTATGTTTTTCATGAAAACATGAATGAGTGAACATTAACTGCCTCAAGAGCAAAAAAGAGCAACCTTTCATTTCTGTGTTACTGTGGAAAATGTGATCTCATCAAAAGATTGTTTGTTTCAAATGATTTAATGAATTAAAAGCTTTTTCAAGGCAGCTTTGGTTCACATCAGTAAACACATATAACCGTGGACCCTCTGAATATTTTGCCACTGATCAATGACTGAAAAAGATTTTTTGCAGGAAAAGCACTTTTCCTTTTTTCTTTCATATTTTGGTTTCCATTTCTAAAGCTTCTGAGGTCATTTTAGCAGAACAACCTTTACATTTCATTTTATTTAATTTGTATGCTTCCAAATCAACCTTGTAATTAAGTTTTGCAGTTATTCTTAATAATGACTTGAAATGATTGATCAGATTAATTGTGATTAATCTATAACTGTAATAATCATAAACTTTTCTGTTAATTAAATTTAATTGTTAACAGTGATGGTTCAGACTGCCAAACATAGCTATTTGCAAAAAGAATAACTTGCAGCAGTGAAACAGCTTGCAAACTCAAAACAGTTTTTTAAAATAAAAAAATTAAATAAATTCTTTCTAAAATAATAAAAAAATAACATGTTTATGTAGATATATTTTATACATTTTGCCATTTGCAATTCATTTAAAATATATTTTTTTATATGTTCAAAATATTTGTTGGAATTGGTCATTTACAAATGTATGTCTTTAGATTAATCATTTCATTTCAAATGTCTCTTTATTAACCAAAGGTCACTGTAAAGTACAGTATAAAGGGTATTATTGTTTTTACCTTATTAATTTTCCCTTTTAAACATAACAAATACATATCTCATGAGTAAAATATCTGTAAAAAAAGCAAAGAACATAACAAAACAAAAAATAAACAGAAGAAAAAAAATGGATCCTAACAAAACAGAAAAAAACATTTCAACTAATCAAGCAAATAATCAATGGATAAATCTGTTTATATAATCTATAGGTGCATCCTTGTCATATCAGTGTTTCACAAAGTTTTGGATGATACTTTAATAACATCATTTTATAAATGAGCCAGTTACTTTGGTAAAAAGTGAGGCAAATTTTCCAAACTCCACACATTGATAACATTTTTCAATCATTAGTAGAGGTGTCAAGTAACAAATTAAAAACTTTGTTACCTTACCTAAGTAGAAATGTTGGCTATCTATACTGTACTTTACTTGAGTAATTATTTTTAGACAACTTTTTAATTCTACTCCTTACATTTTAAAATAGACTCCTCAATTTTGTTTCATTTAAGCTAATTTTCGTCATTGTCTGTTGGTATTTAAAAAAATAAAAACCATCAAAGACTGTCAATTTCCTTGTAGTTGGACTTGGTAGTGCACCAACTTGTTGTTCCATACATACCAAAATAAATTGTTTTTCAAGATGCAAAGTTACATTTGACACTGTTTCCATTAGTTATAAAAGAAAATTAAGTAAAAGGAAGTTATTGTCCATAATTGTAGAAAATGTTCCTTTAAAAACCTAGTGCACTGCATCTGTCATGAAAATTTTTCCTGCATAATTTTTACTTTTATGCTTTCAGTAGTTCTAAAACTGGTACTTTTAGACTTTTACTCGAGTGAAAAGCTTGAGTTGATAATCAATTTCTACAAAAGTGTTTTTTTTTAGCAATAGGATTTGTACTTCTACTTGAGCAATAAACATTAATACCTGTGACACCTCTGATCATTACCTTACAAGCCAGATGAATCGTTTCTAGATTTGTAAATTTAAAAAACTCCCAAAAAAAACGTTTTGCCAGAAGCCAACAGATACTTTTGGTTCGATACAGAAATGTTTCAGAGCAATAAAATGCAGTGATGTGTATGACGTCACCTAGATGTAGAAGGTTGGAGCAAAACATACATGGCTGCACTGGATTAAGCTGGACTAGCCTCTATTTCTTTCTGAAAAACTAGAAAAAAAGGCGCATGTTTTGCCTTGGTGGTTAGTAAGATGTTTGTCCCCTAGTCCCGATTATTTAAGAGTTTCAGTTAGAGCTTAAAAAAAATCAAGAATGTGATACGTCTCAGCTGCTACTGCTGCTGTGATTGGCTAAAAACTTGACATGGGAGGCAGGTGCCCAATCAGCTGGAAGAATCCTACTGAATGTCCCTCCCTTTAGCAAACCTTTTCTACGGGAGGATTTCCAGATGGATACTTGTAGAATTCAGAATTATGCCAGTTTACTTTAATGAAGCTCAGATTGTTGGATCCTGTTGGTTTTTTATGGCTTTAATGCTCCCAATGCTTAATTATTTATCCTGACTTTATTTAAAAACAGTGATTGATCTGGCTAGCAGACCTTTTTTATGTGTTAATAACAAATTATTAATATTGATATTATATTAACATTGAGCAGAAAATGTTATAAAGTGATGATAGTTAATGGTGGCTCTCAGAAAAGTGGAAAATGCATTTTTTTTTCAAGTGGTCCTTAGTTATTTGCATTAATCTTTAGGAATAAATATAGAATCATTTCAGAATTGGAAAAGCAATTTTCTTAATCCAGCCCTACTGGTTTGTGTTACTGTACTTCTTTTGACCATTACATAAACAGTATACAATAAAAATTATTTATAGTAAATACAAACCATTACACAGATAATGATTTACCTGCTCAGCAGCTGCTGCTCTTGATTCATCGGAATGCTTGAGCAAGGACTGTCTGGCCGAAGGAGCTGAAAGAAATTTGGTTATCGCTTTTTTGGACTTTTTTTTCAACTTAGCTGCTGATAAATTAATTTGTACCTACAGGTATTTTTCTCCTCCTTAGACTCTGAGTAGGTCTGGATCCATAATGACTTGGCCCCATTCTGACTCATAAATTTGCACAGTTAGATCATGTTACATACATTTTACTTTCAACTGCAACAAAATCCAGACTAATCTTGTGCTGCTTTGACAAAGTCAAACAGTTGAAATGCTGGCAACTAGAGCTGGGCGATATGGCGATATATATCGTGAGGACGAGAGAAACATGTCTATCGTGACCTTTCTCCTCTATTTTTTCTATCGTGATAAACTTTTTCACTGTTCACTGTCATGGCCGCAAATTGCATAACTGGTGTTCTTGGTTTGGGGTTGGGATTCTCATATTAGGAAACAAGATGATGGGTAAAAAATAGGCGATGAAAGATTTTTTTCAACCCTGTCCATCTGACGGACTATGAAAACATAAAATGCAACATCAGTTGTGGTATATCGTGATATATATCGTTATCGTGATATAAAATAATCCATATCGTGATATAGTTTTTTTTCCATATCGCCCAGCCCTACTGGCAACTGAATCCCTGTGGATGAATCTGTTAAAAAAAATTAAAAGGCAAAATTTTTTTTTGTTTTTTTTACCTCATGACCTGAGTTTGATAGGCTGTCGTTTCTCTTCATCTCATCTCTCTTCTTTCTTAATTTTTCTAAACAATCCTGAATTTCTTTCAGAAGCTGAGATCTCGGTGCCTCCTGCCCTGATGCTGGTAATGGTGAATCTTTCTCGTCGTTCAGGACTACAGGCAGAGTCGCTGGAAGTCTGATGACAGATCTATAGTCTTCCTCTGAATGGATGACTGCTTCCATAAATACAACAGCTGGAAGCTTGTTGGGTAAACGTTTCATCTAAAAGGTGAATATTTTTCAAATATTAAACACATTCCTAGTGTACTGACTGGCTATCTAACATTTTCTAAAACAATTTACTAATTTAAGGAATTTTAGGTATAATTTATCCTAAATCAACATAAATTGTAAAAATATAACAAAGAATAACAATTTGAATGAAGGTGAGGCAGAAATTCCCAGCTAATCGGCTTACCTGAAGGTGATGTGAGGAGATGTCAAACTTGCCCCATGATACATTGTGAAGATCTGGGGATATTTGAGGAGACACGTCTGGAGCTGCAAATTAATCCATTGTCATGATCAACACCAGGATTTTTTATCCTCCAAAGTTATGGAAGAGAGAAACTCTTTTAACGTACATGAAACAGGCTCCTCCTTGATTCCAGAGGCTGCTGTTGTGTCATTATAACAGCTCACAGAGCTCCAGCAGACCTCTGGTCTCTGAAGATAAAAAGTGAAAATATTTTTTTAATAATACTGTGAGTTTATAAAGTGAATTTTGATGCATCATTGTTGGAAACAAAGAACACAGTTATAACTTGAAATTCGAAAATCCAGTCACAAAACTGTTCAAAAAATGTTCTTCCAAAAAAGCTAAAAAACAATCCACTGCACATTGTTTCCAAGTTTGAAGACATTTCGCTTCCCATCCATGAAGCTTTTTTAATTCAAAATTAATTTAATTGAAAAAGCTTCCTGGACAGGCACCAAAATGTCTTAAAAACTTGGAAAGTCCAGTGGATTGTTTTCTAACTATTTGGAATGACAGTGACTTGGATGCCTGAGTATCTTCACCATCATATTTGAAAAATGTTTTAATAAAACCATTAGAAAATTCAGTTATGTATTATTTTATTAACATTTCAATTTATGAAATGTATTTTTTCAAATTTTACAAACTTTAGATTTCAATCCATTATTCCCCCAAAAACTAAATTATTGAGTCAAATATTGCACTTAAACAACAACAACAAAAAAATCAAGAGAGCAGCTTTAATATCCAATTGGTAGAATGTTAATTTGAGGTTAAGTTATTAATGACAACTAAATCAGGGTTTAACCATAAATCCAGCTCAGGAGATGATTAGGGCTGCAACAACGAATCGATAAAATCGATAAAAATCGACTTTTGAAAGCGTTGGCAACGAATTTAATCATCGATTAGTTGTGTCGCGCGATTAATGCGTCATCCGCCGCCGCCGTCATTCCGGGGAAGAAAAAAAAATACGGCAGAGCGAGTCAGCGCCGCAGTTGCAGTGTTGACAACTCAGCGACTTTTCAGACCCCTCCAGCGACTATTTCTTTAAAAAGCTACTAGCGACAAATCTGGCGACTTTTTACGGTGTCACTGGCGGCTTTTGGAGACTCTTACGTGAAAGCATGTATCGTTCCTACTCTTCTCCTCCAGCGGCAGCTGCTGCCGTGGGGCGCCTCCCCCATCCCAACCCCTTTCTCTCTCTCCCACAGGAATTCCTCTCAGCGCTGCAGTCAGAGCCGCAGGATTTTAGTGAGGAGTTTACCCTCAGCGTCCAGACTGCAAATGAAGCGCGCATGCCCCGGGATTGACGGCGCAAATTGATCACAATAATTAAAATAGCCTGCGCTTTGTAAAGTGAAAAAAGTTGTAACATGCAACTTTTGTAAAAACAAATGAACATGGCAGGGAAGCACCACTGTTATGACGCAGCACCTGAAAAGAAAACACGTTGGAGCCTTCAATGGCAGTGAAGAGAGCTCATCAGCAGGATGAGTAACCATGTTTGTTTCATTTTAAAGTGGGGAAACGTAACGTTAGTTTCTCAGGTAGCTCATCTGATGCTTTCCTTAGCTTGTTAGTAGGTTACAGACAGTGATAAGGTTGGCTACTTATTTTACTTTTAATTTCATTTGAATTAGCTTAAGCAGCGTTTATATTTTCTTTATAAATAAATTAATTTGCAAATTATGAGGGCAAGGCTTTTAAAGTTTAAATCTTCTGGCAAAGATAAAGTAAAGAAGATCCTGCAATTTATGGAAGTAAAGCAGAATAAAATCCAGCAAGATCAGTAATATGTCAATTAATTATCTGCCACATTCCCATGTAAATATCTGTTTTTGGAGGATGTGTTTTTTAGCATCCCTAGTTCTCTCATTTTTATTCCAAATACAATTTATAATTTGAATCACAGGGCTATTTTTATCTCTATGGTTCAGTATTTTCTCAAGTAGCAACTTTAACTGCTATACTTTCCTGTCTTAAAAGGCAGAACTCTTCTAGTCTAAAAAAACCTCATTTGTTGAAATGGGGGGACCTATTGTTTGAACCCCTTAGGGGCTTTAAAAAACAAAAATGCCTGTCTCTTTTTCCGCTTTATGAAACAAAATACCCTATATTTTGTGGATGTACAGCTACATTTCTCATGTAAGTTTGCGTAGTTTTAACACAAACATTTATTTTTCATATTGCACCAGTACAGTTAATGAGAAACCTGTACTTGCGTGCTTGTTTTTTCTGTCTAAAATGTTTATTTTGGAATGAAGAGGTTAATATAAAAAAAATATTTTGTGTCCGATTCATCGATTAATCGAAAAAATAATCGGCCGATTCATCGATTTTCAAAATAATCGTTAGTTGCAGCCCTAGAGATGATACAGAGTATGAGGTCCAAGACAGCAAGATGTATAATCAGAAAGGAATAATTCACAGACTGAGATACAGTTTTTATATAACATTTTAGCAAAGAATCAAAGAAGATACTGTCAAAATGTATCCCTTTTTCAATGGAAACACTCTCGTGATATACAAGAAAGCTATGGCTTTATGAAAATGGCCGCCTATTAATTAATAATCATCAGTCATTCGGTAAAATCAGTTAACTTCAGACTTAACTCGTATATCAATATCTTTCATCCTTAAGTTAAGTGTTTAATACACAGATTGAAATTTAAAGATTAGTTTGCAAATGTAAGAAAGGAAAACAGATGGCTGAAAAAATGTTCCAGATCATCACTGATTCATCTGATCATCAAATCGGATTAATACATTTTTCTTTCTCACTTAAGTTTCATTAAAAAACAAAGATAAATGAAACCTACTGTCTAAAATACAAGCTGTGAAACATGCTTGTTAAAGAATCATGTACAGTGAACCCTCGCTATAACACAGTTCACTTTTCACGGTCTCGCTGCTTCACGGATTTGCATCATGCATTGTTAAACTTTATTGTCAAACCTATTAATGGTGGCATGTCGGTTTATAAGGATCTTTTGGCCCAGAAGAAAAAAGAGCGACAACAACTACCGATAACTATGTTCTTCTCTCCAAAAAGCACACCTGCACCGCAGGCTTTAGAAGAAATGAACGCCACAGAGCAGAGTCAGGATGCAGCGGCTCCGTCAAACAACAGTGAAATACTGTACTGTACACGTCAGTCACTATTTGTCCTACTGTACTTTGTATTTTTCATTTTCTCCCGTTCCAATCCGCAATATTAACCCTTCATTTCGTATTGATGATAAAAATTATTACTTATTTATTTATAACTATATTATTTTACAGTACAGTACAGTAGTTATTTGTAAAAAAAAAAAACAAATGCTTGGGCCTGTAAAAAGTTTTTGTTCCTTGATTTCAATGTTATATGGAGTATTTCATTGTATAATAACTGTAAAAAAATAAAGGTTTCTACTTCACGGATTTCACCTATCGGAACGTAACCCCCACGATAAACGAGGGTTCACTGTATATCTTTTTTATGCATCCTATTGTGCTTGAGACCAGTTTAATTAATGATCCCAAAACGTTCTTTTTTAAAGCATTGTCAATATAGTTTCAATAGCAGTTTTATTTTTGTCCGATCAACTTACAGTAAATGCCAAAAGGATAATTCAATTCAATTCAGTTCAGTTTATATATATAGCGCCAAATTCACAACACATGTCATCTCAAGGCACTTTACAGTTCAACCAGATCATACAGTCAAATTGATACAAAGTTTTCTATCTAAGGAAAACCAGTTGATTGCATTGACTCATTGACTCAAATACAATCCCTCACACTAAGCATGCTTTTAGTGACAGTGGAGAGGAAAAACTCCCTTTTAACAGGAAGAAACCTCCAGCAGAACCGGGCTCAGTGTGAGCGGCCATCTGCCGAGGCCGACTGGCCGACTTATTAAACCCCTCTTAATCATTAATAGGGGTTAAATAAGGTTTTTCTTCTAACTTGAAGGAAAAGGAAGAAAACTAAAGTTGTGTCTAAAGGAGAATATAAACTTATAATGTATTCTGTATAATGTTTTCTGTGTTCTGAATCATTGTAAGATTTTTCACAGGTAATAAAAAATTATACAATAATCAAATTTAATTTAAACTAAAAGTAATCAAAAATAAAATTTATCTTTACCTTTGAAAACATGGCATGCTCCTCCACATAACGGCGCGACTTTGATCTTGTTGCATTTTCAGAGGCTGCAGGACATGTAAAAGTTGTGATGAAAAAGAAAACATTTAGATTAATTAGATTGAAATGAATCCTCGTTAGACTAAATATGACCATTGATCATACTTGGGTTCCGTTGCTTTTTGACCCTGACTGCTGCTGAAGAGTTGTTGAAGTTTTTTATCCTTGGTGTTGGAGGGGAATTCTGTGAAGTTAGGAAGACAAAATTCAACGGGTGTTTAAATGGAAAATTGTTTAACTAAAATATGAAAATGCTAAAATTATCTTTATACCTCCTTTTTTATTTTCACTATATTTGATGGAGGGTAATTTTTGTGACCCACTTGTGGGTTCCAGCAATCTTTCCAGAATTTCTGCTCTTCCTTTGGAATCGCCGCCCCCTTCGGTGTGCAGCCCATCCTCCCCTGGTGGATTCTCAGCCCACGATAACTCGTCATTTTATTCCAGCCACAGTGACAGATCTGGAGGCTCATGTCTGAATAGTAATTTGTACTTTCTGTTGAATATATATTTGAAGAGGCAGGTCATCAATAAATTGCTGAATGACCTTGCCTATTTAATTAGTCTTTTTTGTAGAATCAAGATCTAAAATCACATAATCAGCCCACCTGTTTTGAACATGCTCTGGTCAAGCTTGTAGCTCAGATCAACCTTTTCCTGTCCTGCAAAAGCGCTGATGTACTGCTGCTGAGGCTGTGTGATCCTCACACCCTGCGGCGTGCATCCCATTCTGCCTTGGTGGATCCTCAAGCCCTGATAGGTCGTCACTTTGGACCAACCACAACAGTTGCAGACCTGAAGGCTCATTTCTGCAATCGGTCTTGAGGAGATACAGTGGGACAGACTTCAAACAGGAACAGACACTTTGGCTTTTATATCTAACATTAATCTTTCAGTCATCTAAAGCTTTGAGTAATAAATGGCATGAAATGTTTCTATTTATGTGGATCTAGGTTAAAGTTGAGAAATTGGCCTATTTGGCATTCAAAAAGTTTAAAAGTTTTTTTTGTTGTTGAAGATGCATTTTCTTTTATTTATTTTTATTTTTATAAAGTATGTGTTTTTGTTTAGTTAGCCACCAAAATGAACTAAAAGTTAGCGATTATTAAAAGGCACCATACCTTTTATAGGGTCTCGTTTGCCAATATAAAACTGAGAATTTATATCCAGCTGCTGGATAATAACCTAACAAATTGCTTTCACATGTTCACTGTTGCCATAAGGGTCCAATAGGTAAATATATATGAAATTTTATTATCCTTTTTTGTTATCCTCAGTTATCTCTGGAGTTATGCTGCTACAGGCTTAGACTGCTGGAGGACATAGGGACCCCTTTTCATTCATTCTGCTTCATTCCATCTCTATTCTCCCATTCTGTGGTATTTGTTAGTTCAACCTCTAAATGTATGTTCTCTCTTGCTTTTTCTCATCAAAGCAGCTTGATCTGGTCTATTCCTGTTTGGCCATTACACCATCCTGGAGAGAAATATCAACTGTGCTGCTGCCACTAGCACCTTATTATACTGAACTGTTATACTGTAGATGTCGAGGCTTGGCCTGTTTTTCATTGTAGTCCTGTTTTTCTTACTGTGACTAACAGTGTGTCCTGCCTTTGATACTGGCTCATCTGCCAGTCTGTGTGTTTCCTGGAGGGGGCCGCCCGTGGAGTTGGTTGACTGTTGCCTTTTGTATCTCTGCTTCTTTCTGTATATCTTCTTCTGTCTCCTTGAACCCCAGTCAGTCTCGGCAGATGGCTGCTCACACTGAGCCTGGTTCTGCCGGAGGTCTTTTCCCATAAAAAGGAAGTTTTCCTCTCCACTGTCGCTACAAGCATGATTGGTCTAAGAGATTACTTTCGAGTCAATGAGTCAATACAATCAGCTTGTTTTCCTTAGAAAGAACACTTTGAACCAAAGTGCTTTGAGATTACATGTGTTGTGAATTGGTGCTGTAGAAATAAACGCTGTTAACCATCGCCCGATCTCCCAGGGCAAGTAGTTTTTATTGTTGGAAGCGTACAAATTTCCTTGCATTTGCCGGCCGGGCAAGTGCAATGATCACAAAAAAAAATTATTTATCACTCAAAATGACTTTAAAATCGCCGACATTCGATGAAAACGACCCAGAAGCGTTGCCGGCACCATTTTTGTTGTTTTGTACACATTCTCGCATGATTTGAAAAAGCCGCGTGATTTTCTGCCAGATGGCGTGAATTTTGTCCGGGAATCGGTCAGGGATTAGGAAAATTGGCATAATTGTATGCCATGTGCACAGTGTAAATATGGCTATCATATGGCAGTCTTCTGTACAGTGATGCAGGTCATACATTAAAAAATGTTCATTAATTTTTTTTTCTCTTAGACATTGGAGAGGTGCATTTAAATGTTATAGAGCTAAACATGTTAAATTGGTGACCTGTTATGTTATTATTATTGTCTTGTTGCTGCATTAACTTTGTCAGGGAAAACTAATCCTGAGTCATTTAAAAGTCAGGGAATTCTGAAATTATGTACGACTGTGGAAACCCTGTATAAAATAACTATGTATAATGATTCTCTAGAAAAGTTACATTATAATAATAGTATTATCTTGTATAAACATACCGTGACTCTTAAATAAAACATTTATAAAATAAACATGTTTCATTGAGATATATACAAAAATGAATATTAGGAACTATACAGTATTTATCAAACATTATACTGCGCAAATAAAAATTGTTTCTGGGCAAATGAAATACAAAAGTCACTTGCCCGAATATGGTTCTACTCAACCATATCAGTCTTGTGTCAGTTGAAGCCGTTCTGAAGATACTCCCTTTAGGGCTGGGCGATAATTCAATAACGATATATATCGATCGATAGACGTGTGGCGCAATAGAAAAAAAGAGAGTCGATAAAAGTTCGACAAAAAAGAAACACAGTTTTCCTTCCTTCTCATTGTAGCCTAGCATGTAGGTTTATGCTAGTCACTGCTTCCTCCCAACCAATCACAATCGCGGACCCAGGCACGCCGTCACCAAGCGCCGCCCTCTCAAACCACAACACAGAGCACATGAAGATGTCGCAGCAAGGAGAGTCGGAGGAAATTGTTTCAAAGAAGGGTTTTTGTAGTTCGGCAGTCTGGCAGTATTTCGGTCATGGCAAGTCGGACCAAAAACAAACCACAGTCATCTGGAAAATTTGTAGGGAACCAGTGAAAACCAAGTCTGATAACACAACCAACTTTTTTTTTTTTTATCATCTCAGCCGCTCACACCCGCAGGAGTACGAGCTTTGCTCTCCTCCGAGGAATCTTCAGGAATTTCGGGAAAATATATATATATTTTCAGTTCTGGGCAGTTTTCCACGTAGTTCTAACAATTGAGATAAAAATGCTGAGGGGCCAAAAACTTCAAAGTAATAACTCAGGTTAAAGCAGGAAACGGGGGCGGCGGCGGCGATGGGGGGGCATTTATTTATTTGTTATATTTATTTTGGTCACTTTTCTGGTCACTTTAGTTTATTCTTTGTCAGTATTTAATAACATAACCCAGGTCTCTTAAGTTATTTTTCTTTAAAACAATTCTGTTATGGTTAAAAAAGTTGGTTAAATAAAGATTTAATTTGAAGTCTGTGTTTGTGTTTTTTATTAAAATTAAATCATTTAGCAATATTATAAAAAGTCCAGGCAGAGCTGCACATAAAATATGGTTTCAAATCTTTTCAATAATTATCGATATTGATCAATATGCATTTTTTTTTATCGATAAGCTTTTTTTCTATATCGCCCAGCCCTAATTCCGTTATATCCAAGCAACGTCTTCCTATGGGCGATCGATTTGAAGGCACAAACTTAACATGTAGGCGAATCACTGTCCCCCAGACAGCTGTGGTTATATTTTTTATATTTTTATCTTTTAAAAACAAAGCGGTGCGTGTATGACGTCGTCCGCGCGTCATCCTGTCCGCTGAACTGGAGCTAGTTTTACTCACATGCCTGGAAGATGTCTAGTGCTGCTGCCACAGATGATCTCGCTCTCGAAATGGAATTGAACGATTCAGATTAGCTAGCTGAATGAATAGAAGGGGTAGAGCGTAGCCGCGTGTGGCCCGGGCTTCCTGTTACGTCTCCAGTCCACGTGCACGGATGACGTCATACACGTGTCGCTTTGTTTTTAAAACATATAGATATAAAAAATATACCCGTGGATGTCTGGGGGACAGTGATTCGCCTACATGTTATGAATGGTGGCGTACCATATATGATAAATTATGAACAGTTCAGTTGCTGCCTTCAAGTCGTTGCCCATAGGAAGACGTTACTTGGATATAACCTAACGGAATATCTTCAGAACGGCTCCAAATGACACAAAACTTATATGGGTGAGTAGAACATGATGTAATAACGTAAATTCAAGGGCCCAATGTAAAAAAAACGGCATTCCCCTTTAAGCTGGGCATACACTGTATTTTCAGATTTTTCAGTCATGCGAGAATTTTTCGTTCGGGCCAACTTTCAGCCTGATTCTGTGTTGTACATTGTGTAGTGTACAGGGGGTAGCGAGGGGCAAACAGCCACCACGAATACCTCCCGATCAAATGTTTGAAATTCAGTCGGCTGTCATGGGCAAATCACTCAGTGTGCATGCGCAAACAAGGATTTCTTCTTCTTCCTCTCAGATGTAAACACAGAAGGATGGCGGGGTTGCGAGTGAAATGGAGTTCTTAATGTAAAATTGACAGATAGTAGTAGCCACGTTTGCTCAGCCATGTCTTTGTACAAATACGTCGCCGCCTTTTCTTTTTAGGGCTGTAAAGCAAACAAAACTGCACAAATTGCCAAGGCAGCGTGTTTCACTGTATTGAGCTTCATATTCCTCTTCTACACGTTTGGCTTCCGGACAAACGATTTCGAGTAGCCCCATCTCACTGCGGAGCTGAGTCCGACCTGGTTCACTGAGGGTTGAGTCGCACAGTGTGTGAACTTCTAAACCCTGCAGTTTCGTCATATAGTGTGAGCTATAGTTGCGAGCAACAATTGAAAAAATCTTGCAAAATGATTATTGATAAAAGCAGGTAAGTAATGACAATGGAAAAGATGTTCGCTATACCTTTTATCTACAAAAATTTTTGTATCTACAGTATGTGTCTATTTGTTAGCAAATGCTGTAGGAAAGTATAATTCAGTTTCAATTAAATTCAATTCAGTTTATTTCTATAGCCCCAGTTCATAACACATGTCATCTCAAGGCACTTTACAGTTCACCAGATCTAACTAGATCATCGTCAAATTTAAAAAATAAAATATAGTTTATCTTTATTTAGAAAATGTGGACGTTGTGCTCTCCTGTTGGAACAGTGTAGACTGACCCTGAGGTTCTGGTGCCTATCCGCTTTCGGCCACCCCTCAGTGTGCATCAGTGGCGACTGGCAAATAGAGGGCGCTAGGGCACCACCCCACCCACTCACAACCCTGATTAAAACATTAAAATGTATATGTATTTTTTATGATTTTAAACTAACATTAAAAAATTTCAACATTTATTAATATGTATTTTTTAATGTGCAAGATAAATATTTACTTTAAAGCGTCAGTCCATTTTTCATCGCATTGATAACCTATTTCTGCCCTAGGGCCCAAAAAATCTTTCCCCAATGACTCTTGTTGAAAGTTGTACATGCACGGTAGCTCCTCTGCTATACAATGGTATAAGGAGAGCCCAGGGCACAGCTAATCTGAGATCTGAGTTGACAGGAAGTGTATTTGCTCACCACCTCCTGCATAGCGCAGGCATTCTGCGGATGATTGACAGGTTGAGTCATGGTGGTTGCAGACGCATTGGAGAGAGATAGAGAGAAATGGCAAAAGAACCGTCCTTTTTCAGTACCTGGTTTAGCAAAAAGGATTAGCTAACTGCATGTAGAAAGGCTAACACTTTATTCTGCTTTCCCGCTTCCTTTTTCAAACATCGGGATCTATCCAGCATGGATAAAGACAGGTAGGACTGATTGAAAGCACTTTTTAGAAAAAGCAAATATGCGTGAACAATCTGGGATTCACAAGGGAAAAAATATATATTATAGTGTACTTTTTTTTAGATGTTTGTTAATTTGCATTGTTGCTCTTAAATAAAGGCATTCTCAGAAAATAAATTGTTTTTATATATTAAAAAAACGAAATCTGACTAATGGCATCTTATAGCACCATTTTTAAACTGGTACATTATATTTTTTTAGGTTCGTGACACAATATTGGACCATAAAAAACACCGATTTATCTTCACAAAGCCTCATGAGGGCAAGAATTATTTACAAAAAGTAAACCTGTACATGAAGTAATGTTTAGGTTTTATAAAGTGTTTTTATAATGTCTTTTGTTGTTGGCATTCATATAAATATACTGGCGTGATAACTTAGTATACGTTTGATTATTTTTTGGTATACGTCTATTTTGAATTTATAGCCCCCTCTGGAGAAAACTCCAACAGCCGCCACTGGTGTACATTGGTTATTGCCAGGCCACCCTTATAGAAATGTTCTGGCTACGCCTCTGTTCAAGGATCTACTCAACAAAACGTCCCTCTATGGGTGGGATTTTATTAGTTCTATCAATAAAATATGAGCTCAGAAAAATAACACCGTTTTTTCACGCTCAAAATGTTCCTGACAAAGGTGCCTAGAGCACACCATCAGATTTTTGTACAGACTGCATATAGAGAGACAGCAAGAACAGAGCAAAAAAAAAAAAAAAACAAAGCTTTAAAACAAGATACAAATCACTCATTTCTTAAAAAAAAACAAAAAAAACAAACAAAGGAAATGAAGGCGGTTTCAAATGTTCTGCCGGTTGTGTAGACATCGATAACATCTGATGCAGCAAAATGAAATAAAGAATAGCACTAAGTTAATCAAAAGAAATGCATCTTAAAGAAAAAGTAATACCCCTTCACAACAAAACGTTATCTCTGCATATAAATGTAATGGCATTTTTGAAATTTAACATGAAAAAGGGAAGTGAACTATTCGATGAAAAATAGTTGATGAAAAAGATGTATACACATATAAATACACATACATATAAATGAATACACAACTTTTTTTTTTTTTTTTTTTTTTTACATGAACACATTAATAGGCGACCTGCTCCTGCTGGTTGATAAATAATGTGTTCTGAATCTTTAAAAAGTGACAAATAAACACTGGAGCAAAGAGGGCTTAAAACAAAAAATTGAAGGTAAAGTTTTTGCCCAAAGATCAAGTTTTAGTAAAGCTGCTTGAAGACCTGCTGTCTGCATGTCCCGGGCTCATAAAAAGGTTTAAAATGACGCAATTAACAGAAATATCAGTGCTTCTTACCTCACAGACTTCCTCCTGAACCGTTTTAGAGCTAACAGACCAACTGTCAGCGCAGCGTGATGCTGTGGTGCTTTCAGTTTCATTTCTGGCGCAAAACATGAATAAACCTCAACATCCGTTCCTTCGCCCGCTGATGCTTTCAAAGATACTGGGAAAATCCAAGACCCTTAACCAATAGCCGACAATGTGTTTTATTTAACAGAACAAACTTTTTTGTTCTGTCTTTTTAGTTTTTGCATCACTGATAAAAAATAAAAGAAAACATACAAGATCCATTTAATGCCACTCACAAAATCAAAAAGCATATCAATTATCAAAAAGGTAAACCAAAACAAACCGTAAATGATTCTGCTGCATTAATTGGTGGCATAGCTAATGTAAAAAAAAACAAACAAAAAAAAACATAAAGGGGATTTCTAAAATAGTTAAAATATAACATAATTTTATCTTAATGCAACTTGTTGGCTAATCATAGAGTTGTACAATATAGAACATTTTTGTTTTTTAAACATTGTCCTGTCTGGCAATGTTGCAATAAGAATAATTGTCTTGATGCCAAAAAGACATTAGTACCCTGGTGGACATTAAAAAGCTGTGTTTAAAAAAAATTCCATTAAAAGTTTGTTCTCAGGTTCCATTATAATCGCTGTGAGGCCCGTGGTGTTAGATGAAGTATAAAAGTAGATTACTCTATATCTGATGTAGAGTAAGTTAAAGTATAACACCAGAACCCTTAATCTCTCAATTAAGGTTCATATTGGATTTTTTAATTTATTTCTCTATAGGATCTATGTGAGCCTATATATTTCAACAACTATTACACAGCTATATCTTAGAAAACTCTAATCCTGAAACCCATGACCCTTCATTAGATTAAGACCAACGTAATGATATTTTTGTTGTTTATTTTGTTCTTAATAGGAATAAAACTAAAATCCTTGACCAGAAGCTACTTAGCTTTCATTATTTACTTTGCTACAGACACTTTGCCTTGCCCCACAAAATTATTAGTAGATGTCAAACCAGGATGTCAGTTCTAAACTTATCTTTCTCAAGCATCAAACGAAACAAACTGATTCGCATGACGTTTACCTTTTTGGCTTCTTCTTTTAGAATTCCTTCCTGTGCAGGTTTCATGTCTGATGAAAATACTGATAAGAAACCTCTCGCATTTAGAAAGAGAAGCTGTCACCAAAGTGTAATATGCAGATAAAATGCAGATGAAGAGAAATATTTTGCCAAGAGCAGATGGGTTTTAAAATGAGATTATGTGTTCACAGTTTGTGTTTTGATCAATTCCTTTTAAAATGAAAACTGTGTGTAAAATTCATATGCTGGCACAGACAAAAAAAAGACCGTATCCTTGTTTATAAAAAACAAGGAGCATGATACATTTTTTTTTGTTTTATTTTTTCCCCGCATTGATTTATGGGGCTTAATTACAGCTTCCATTAAATAATTTTTTTTTTAGATACATTTACTTTAAATTTGTTTTTCTTCTTTTATCTTATTTTAGTGAGTGTTGAAAAATGGATGAATATGTACAGGTATGTCATTTAAAGAGAAACTATAAAACATGAATTATTGTTATGTCCCAGCCTAGACCTTGGGAACATGTCCACCCCTTAAATCTCTCCTTTATTTTTCACAATCCTCTGTATGTATGCACTGTATATACTTCATGCACCTTTGCCTCCATTTTTCACCTTCTGTTTTTTATAAGAGGCAATGTCACAAGTGAATTTCTCCATTGTGAGATCAATAAAGTTCTATTCTATTCTATTATATTCTATTTTTGTTGCGGGTCACAAGTCTGTTATCATTTGTCGGCTGTTAATTTGCCAAATGCTGGTAAGAAAACAAGCAATGAAAATATAGGTATCTCCATTATAAGTACTTTAATGGTCCCAAAAGATTTTCACATGAAATCCTTGTAAATTGTGATAAATAAATTGCACCTTTATATTTCATTACACTAAATACATGCTATGGATGAAACATAAGTCTAAATGAAATACCTCTAACCTTATAAGTGGGGTTTCCAACTTTAGGTCATGTTTCAGTTTCCAACTGAAACCCAGGGTACTAGTTTATAATACTGTCATTGGCCAGAAGATTAAATGCAAAACCATCGCCATTCCATTTGTTGCTTAAGTCTCTTAAAAACTGAAGAGAATTTTCTTCAAACACAAAATCCCAGTACATTTCTTTTTCTTTTTTTTCTAAAGACAAAACCCCCAGGCCTAAGATGAGCTGAGTTGTGATTGCAGATCAAAGGAATGCTCTGACCTTTATATTGGAGAAACCAAACAACCTTCCACAGACGCATGGCTCAACACACACCAGCGACCTCCTCCAGACAGGAATCTGCTGTCCACCTACACCTTAAGGACATAGGACACTCGCTTGAAGAGAAAAATGCTCACATTTTGGAAAAAGAAGAAGGGTGGTTTGAAAGGGATGCGAAGGAAGCCATCTCTGTTAAGGTGAAAAACCAACCTTAAGCAGAGGGGGTGGACTCAGGTTTCAAAAACCTACAACACATGATAGATTTGATTCCTGCCTGCTGTCATCTCAGTCCTCATCGCCATGTAGGGGACCAAAACATCTCGCCTGTTTACCCAGGCCGAACGACTCCCCTTTACAGAGGCATGGGCCAGTATCAGGCTTTGCAGGCCAACAAGGATTGGACCTGTTTTCTGTTCGTGTTGCATGTTTTCGAAGCCATAACAAGGCTTTTGTTTGGGCCACTCTGTAAGCTTTGAACTCAACACTATCCCAGACATTAGTCTGTTTTTTTAGTCTAGTAAACTAGCCCCACCCGCCAGTGGGCAAAATCATGTTTGCCTGCGAGTGGTCTAGCCTCGATCAATGACCCAGGTCCTAGAAATGGCGGGCCAATCATAACGCAGAGATGTGTTTTGAATTTCTGGATGCAAAGCAGGTGGGGTTTTGAGGGCTTGACGATGAAGCTGCGCAATGCTGGAGAAAGCACAACAAGAAAGATGGCAATAACTATTGAACAGTTTTCAATTTAATCAGCTTTGGAACCAGTATTTGTGCCGTGCTTACGTCACAGCCAGTTGCACTCATTGGTCAGAGCGTTGGCCAATAGGCACATACAGTACATAGTTTGAAAGACAATGGGTTGTTCTCATCAACAATTTCTGATGTCTCATTCATTGAGGCCAGACTAAATTACACATTTAATCTCACATTTAGTCTGGTTTATCAGGATATTGTTTTTGAACTATTTTAGAATGACTGTCATTGATCAGTTCATAAATTCACAGGTAAAATGCATTTCTTCTTGGTCTTTAAAGTAGCTGTTTCCTCCCACACATTTGATAACAGTTCTTCTGTTTTTTTGAGCCATAAACCCCAAGAGGGTGAAGTTTAAACTGATGAGTGAATGTTGTTGACATGATATTGTACCATCTCCTATAAAAAGCACTTTTGAAATCAAAGCATATAGTTTGCAAGTTTTATACCAGTACAGTACATTAACAGTAACTGTGGTTTTTATTTTACAATGCTTTTAGTGCATGTTTGAAATGTGTTAAACTACATTTGAAAATGAACTCAAATGAACCAATTCCTGGACCAGACCAGCAGTGTGTGTGCAGCTGTAGAGTCTCTATTTTGTCTCTTATCTTCCTGTATGAAACACGTACTGAGAACATAGTATGTAAAACACTTCCGCTCATATCAAGCTAACTGACAAGTAAGAAGCTGTTTCCTGCTTACTCAGAAGTTTATCTTTCCTTCAGTACCTTAGAAGTCAGTGCTATTCCTTTTTAAACTTACAGATTTTTAGTTGTTTTTAATTATATTTTTCATTCAGAAATAAAACAAAAAAGCAGTAGGCATTGCATGACCAAGAGTAGACCTCTACAGTATACCAGTAGCCTATGTCTAAAAATGTGTTGTTTTTCTTACAAGAAATATTTTGTTGTCTCCCCAGATGTTGAGTTTTTCTGAATATCTGTCTGTGTTAGCAGAAATGGATATCAGCTAAACTTTAGACTGATCAAACACATACTTTATGTTAACCTCTTTCAGCTGTTGTTAGAAAACACTGGATCATAACTTCAGCATTGATTGTAGAAAGGAAAAAGTAAAAAAAAAAAAATATCTACTGGACCTTGTTTCCGAGTTTGAAGATGTTTCACTTCCCATACAGGAAGCTTTTTCAATTCAAAATTAAACAAATTGGATTTTTTTTTTCCGTATTTTTTTTTTGGTATGACTATGACTGAGAATGTTACGGAGCTCCTTAAAGCTACAGTGTGTAATAATTACAGGGATATACAGTCAGAAATGTAATATATTATACATAACTATGTTATTTATCATCATCTACGAGCTCAGCCTCTTAACCTTAATATTTGCGTTGCCTTAGAATATGTTATTTATTATTACATAGGAGCGGGTCTCGCAGCCATGGAGGCGAGACATCTTTGCGCTATGGCAGCGCAGAGCCAACAAACTAGCGATTGCGAGATCGCCCATTACGCTTGAAAGTAAGTATATTTATTATCTTAAGTCTACATGAAATCTATATCCTACACAGCCTAATGAAATACTATCTGTAAAATTATCTATGTAAACAAACCTCATCACTTGAGATGGTAGGTGATGCAGACGTCGTGGAAGACATTTTGTCCCGTAATGCTCGCCGTACTGTTGGGGGGGAGAAGCGGTGGGGGGGAGATGTTCATGTTGCTGCAGTCTGCAGTCTGGACGTTAGATGTCGCTGAAAATTACACACTGTAGCTTTAAGGGACATGGAGGAAAAAATAAACTGTTGCAAATATGCTTTTGCGAGATCCCGCAAAACTATTGTGGGATCTCACAAAAGCATTGCGGGATCTTGCAAAAGTTCTTTTTTCCCCCCCTCCATGTCCCTTTAGGGGCTCCGTAGAATCTTCATCAGCATATAAAGGAAACTGAAGTAGATGGTCATTTTGCGGCGCTAGTTAGCAGGAAACTTTTACAACCATCCAACAACTGTTAACAATTTTTTTTTAAAACAGGTGAAACTATAACCATGTTATCTTGATTTCCAGTGCAGAT